ATGATGACGGTATATAATTTGATTTTTTCTAAAGAATTTATTTTTGAATTTATATACATATATATATATATATATATATACAGCTATCGTGATATTCTTTCTTCTGTTCATTATATGATATTCTTGTGATAGACTATACTATACTGTTACACTCTGTACATTTCTATATATGTATATAACGGGTACAGAATAAAATCTTTTCATTATTTTGACGTCATTTATTTCCATATTTCTTATTTCCGAGAAGCAATTGAGTGATCAGTTTCTTCTGAATCTAGCCCCTTAGGATGTGTTTTTTAAAACTGCTGCTTGTACAGTTAGGTGTCTTATTTCGACAGAATATTAATATTTTCATGCATAAAAAGTACACTACTCAAACAAATTAATGGAGCAAGAAAAACATTCAAATTTTCGGTCATTTTTGACAGGCTGTATTTCGGTGAAAATGGTCATATCTAGACTTTAAAAAAGGCATTTTCAATAGGATTCTAGTTTTGTTTTTTTAGACGTAACTTTTTAGGAGCAACAGCTTCACGAAATTTTAACAGATACGAACGAAATTTTTTGAAAATGTGTGCCTTCTTTTTATTACACGAGCTTGAACAATTTTTTTTTTCTGTCAGGCTATCATATTGATCAGACAGCTTGTTTATTCAGCCTCAATATGCTTATTTTTAAAATCTCGATATGATCATTTGGCGTGATAACTCGCTAACTAGTGATCCCACAGAGAAACTAGAATAAATCTCCCATAACATTTGGTTGCAATCTTTCAGGATATTGTCTTTTTAATTCTTTTGGTTTTCAAACGGAAAAAACTTATTTTTTGCCTTGTTTTGGAAAAACGAGCGCATTCTTAGAACTGCTAATGACAAGGCTAATGTTGTTTGTACCTCAATGTACAACTAATAACGACGGCAGATCGATCCATTGTACGGTTTCTCTGGATTGATTGCTTAAAGTTTGAAAATGATGCAAATTCGTTGTCGGATCCTATTCATTTCGGCTGAATATTTTCTTGATCCGCCCCTGGTTAGTATTTTTGTTTTTTGGAATATTCCATAGATACACAACATTTTTCTACTTGGTATTTTCAAAATTGAAGGTGTTACAGATATCCAATAGTGACAACAGAAGGTGAAAAATGATTTTTCCATTTTCAACCAGATTACAGGATGTTTTGATACAAAAATTTTGCTCGTTTGATTTCTTTCAACCTTCGACCAGTAGGTCCGGAGAAACCGTTTTTTGAGTCCAAAAAATTATTTCGTCCGATGTTACGTTGCTCCTATAAATTTTCGGCTAACACACCTGAAAACTAGAATCTTAATGCTTTTTTCGAAGTCTAATTTATCATTTCTCATCGAAAAACAACCAGTCAAAAGTTACTGAAAAATTTGATTTTTTTTCTTGCTTCCTTAATTTTTTTGAGTAGTGTACGTTCTTCGTGTTTTCAGTTTTTTGTGAACTAGGAGTGCTACGACCATGAACGGACAGTAAGGGCTATTTTAGAAGACTTAAACATAAATAATACATAAACGATCGAATATTATTAAGTTATTTTGGAAGTAAAATCTGAATCAATAAATTAATTTTCACTATACCAAGATTGTCGCAAAGGTAACTGACAGCAAATTGAATTATTTCTTTTCCTTAGCAACAAATAACTAAACAGGTATAACAATAAATACAGTTCGCCCAGGATATCTGTGTTGATGAAAAGAGTGCGGAAAATTCAGATTGTTGGTAGTTAAATTATAAACGAATTGTAGATTTGGCAATCCCTAACAGGCAACATTTTGAATTCTTACTGAAATAAAAACTTATATTTTCGTGTGTTTTTGTTTTCTATCTGAAAAAATTAATAAAAATAAAGATTTTTCTAATTTTCTCGAAATCTAATCGATTGATCTTAAAAAATCAAAGGTCAAAATAAAGAACTTCGAAAGACCTTTCAAACAAGCTATTACTCTATATCCCTTGAGATTTAAAATTTTCAAGAGAATGGCCCTGGGGGTGGGGCGAAGGTCAAGTAGTTAATTTTTGCTTAAGAAGTTGTCCTCCTTGACAAATCTTTTTTCGATAAATCCGTGGTGGAAAGTTTTCAAATGAACACCCTGTATATGCAGCTGTCATGGAAAGAAACATCGATGACGACGGCGACGTGCTGAGTACGCTCGCGGAAGGTGATGCTCATATCAAATCGATAATAATTACGTTATTGCTCTATTAATATGCCCGTTTCAGTTTTTCAAATGCGGTTTGTTTATAAACTATGTTAACCTAGACGCCACGCGACGCCTCATATGGATACTGACTCACATAGCCCACATAGCCACAGTTCATCAACAGTGTTGCCACAGCATATTGACCAAATGACTTGCAAATACCGGACAGTTTTACAAGTTCAAAATGTTTTTATTCGTTGAGTAATGAAAAGTATCGAAATCTTCTGCAAGTTCAGTTCTATAGCTGAATGAATTTTTTTTTGGACCTGTGCTATGAATTTCCATACCGAGCAGACCCGGCTTCTATGCGACAGAACATTATGTCTCTAAACACAATTTTTGAAATTCCCAGTTTTATATATGGTTTTGTATAGGATAAAACTTTTTTGCCTATGCATACGGGACTTCTCTCATCAAGTTGTGACGTTCGAGATAGTCCAGAAGCTCGCGATTTATGCACCTCTACATCACCTTACTTATAACAGAAAGCAGAGCTATAGGCCTGTAGTTAAAAGGGTCGGTCTTAGATCCTTTTTTTGGGATGGGTTGGACATGAGCAAATTTCTAGTTTTCTGGAAAGGTGCCGGATTCATAATAAATCTGGAAGAGACACGAAAGAACTGGAGCAAGCTGCGCTGCACACCCCTTCAGTACAATGGCAGGAATCAAGTCCGGACCAGAAGCTTTGTTGATGTCGAGCGACAAGAGCACTCGTCTTACGGTCTTATGCCTGAATGTTATCTCCCGCATAGTGCAGGGAACCCTTTGAATTGACGGCACTTGGGCGTTAGGGGGGACGTCCATGGTGGGGTTTTCAGCAAAGATCTTGCGCCTTTGAGTCGAATACAATAGTTCCATCCTGACACGTAAGTGGTGGAAGGCTACTACTGTGTGAGAAGTTCTTTTCAATCTGCTTGGCCAGCGTCCAGAAGGACCGACTGTCATTGCGCCGCGACATCACCCTGTGCCTAACTTTTATATCGTGCCGGTTTTTGGCATTGCGAACCGCTTCGTTATATTTGTTTCTGGACTCGACGTCGGTTTGTCTGTTCTCTACAGTGGGGTTTTGTAAGAAGGTTCTGTGTGCCTTGATCTTCTGCTGGCGAGCAGTATCACACGATTTGTTAAACCAGCCGTTGGACCCTGGTTTAGCCACCTTCACTGTGTGAGGGATGTATTCTTCCATTCCGACTGGGATAATTTCTGTTATCGAAGAACAGACAGCCGACGCATCCGTGTCAGTGAAACAGACATCTCTCCAAGGAAAGTTAGAGAAGACGTCTCTGAGCCCCTCCCAGTCGGCATGTCCGTAATGCCCAGTTTTGAGGCCTGTACGAGTTTCTGCTGCCACAGCGGGTTGACCGAAATCTAACCTCCACAACACCGTGGTCTGAGTTACCCAGGGGGGACAGAACAGCAGTGCAGTAAGGAACATGATGAGTGGTCAGAAAGAGATCCAGCAGGCTAACGGCGTGTGACGAGACGCAGGGGAAAAAAGTAGGGCTCGTCATCAGCTGGGTCAGCCCTTGAGCAAGAGCGAACACTTCGACTGCACGACTTGCTGCATCGGTCTTGCTTGAGACCAACCAAAGCTCATTATAGGCATTGAAATCACCGAGAAGAACTACCTCTGAAGCGGGGTGATTGATGTTCAGGAAGTCGATCTGAAGGTTTATTGATAATAGAATACCTTTAACCTTTAACTAACACCTAGCCAAATCCAGATTCACCTCATTCACTCAGCCCCCCCCCCCCCCCCCAAAAAAAATTATTCTGAAAATGATTAGGAAGCTCTAAAGTATTCAGAAATACTTTAAACGATTTTCAGTTTTGTCGTTATTTAATACTAGCTCCGCCCCTCGTAACCCCGCCACCAAAATTTACAGCCCTAAAATTTTCTTGGAGGAATGTCTGAAACATCCGGAAGCGAAGTTTGACCATTTTTTTCTTCGTTTGTTAACCACTCTGCTGTTACTCCACCGATTTCCGAGAATATTCAAGGTTCTTTGTGCATGGCATAACAGCAACCTAAAGCAGATTTTTTTATGATTACAATAATTCTTGTCAATAGGCGCGGTAAGTAAAGGCATCTTTCTTAAATCGTAAAACAAAAATAATATCTTTTATCTTATTCCATAGAATATTGGATTTGAGCATTACATTCGTACAATATCATCACTGCATTACGGTACTCCCTTTATGCTCAACTGAAATCAGCCTGTATCAAGTTTCCCAAAAATGAAGCTGAAGTACAACAAAAATATCGAATACCCGGCAAAATTCTAACTTGTCACATTTCAAATAATAACCAGAAATATAAAACTACTCTGGAGTTGGGTAAATACCACAATTTTGCGGTGATAACTATGACCAGTTAGTTGAAGGTGGCGCTGCTATGACATATAACAACTGATTCAGGACGTCACGGATCTTATAACCAAACTGATAACCACACTCTCTTGAACGAATCTGTAAATACCAATCCAAAATGGTAAATACCATTTTCATTTGGTTATTCGCTTGAATTTGATTATAGTAAAATATTTCAGAACTTTTATGTTTGCGCTCATTGCCAGGCGCATTTCTTTCAGCTACACCCAAAAACCAGGGTCTAAAATCATTTTTTCATAATAACGGTTGGCGTAGTTAAGCTAGAGAATTACCATTATTTACCTAGATATATAAAAAAAATATATAAATAAAAAATCTAGTGATTTTTTATTCAATCTAGTTATTTTTTAGCAAAATTTCTAGTGGTTTTTATTTTTTAAGCCTGGCAATATTGTATTTACCAAATGTCAGTTGTCAGTCAACGTCAAGTGACGTGAAGTTTGATTCGTTGGATGTAGAATAAAAAAATATTCTTAAATAAATAAAAATGTACGAATAGGTAGAGTTCAGGACAAAATATACTCTAAAATACACTAAGAATGGGTAAATAAATAAAGGTATTTGTTATTTCAGCTTCCATAGCATCTTTTTTGTTTCAGGCGTCCTCTTTAGCTACTTCAAAAGCCTAATAGGCACACGAGAAATGAGAATATTGATATTAGGCTTAGATGGTGCTGGAAAAACTACAATATTATATAGATTGCAAGTAGGCGAAGTCGTGACAACAATACCAACGATAGGTTTCAATGTGGAACAAGTTACATACAAAAACCTTAAATTCCAAGTGTGGGACCTGGGCGGTCAAACAAGTATTAGGTAGGAAAGTTGATCCTGGTTAGGTTATAGGAAGAATTTATAGAAATGTCTTGAGTTAGCACCAATCAGGTATTGATCACCAGCCGTGCAGTTCCAGTGGCACTGACATTTTTGCTTCTATTGTTGATTTACTTGTTAAAATAAACCCCTGGAGTCAGGGTTGACTTATATTATTGATTTATGAGATACACATCATGACCTCTCATAATAAAAAATTATACCTCACCGCTAGCAACTGTGCATTTGCCAAGATTTGTGGGCAGCAAAGTATTCAGGACTCGATCACTTTTATTTATGTGTATAAGCAGCTTTTTAATAGAATAAGAGTCAATGAATTGTCTGCCTTCCCAGATATAGGTATATAAACTACTAATAAGGGGCTTCAAAATAAGACTATCTATCCATTATTTTTATATTAAAATATAGTAGTGCTCGCACATCATATTCATCACCCTATTATGTATCTTAATTTTTTAGGCCTTACTGGAGGTGTTACTATAGTAATACAGATGCTATTATTTATGTTGTGGACTCTGCAGATAAAGAGAGGATAGGCATATCAAAAGATGAGTTAGTTCCTATGTTAAGGGTAAGAAACATATTTCCAATCTGTTTATTATTTCCTTATTATTGGCTACTTCTCTATAAGGTGAACTCACTCCCAAAATTCTACTTTTAGGAAGAAGAATTAGCCGATGCTATTTTAGTTGTATTAGCAAACAAACAGGACATACCAGGCTGCATGTCTCTAAAAGAAGTGCACCAAGCATTAGGTTTAGATGCCCTGAAAAACAGAACTTTCCAAATATTTAAAACATCTGCTACGAAGGGTGAAGGGCTGGATAATGCAATGGAGTGGTTAGCAAATGCATTAAAAAACAGAAAATAACCTTTTTTGTATATGCCTCACATTCTAGTCTTCACACAGCATATTATTTCATTATTTGTATATTACTTCTCCAAAGTTTGTTCAAGTATTGTATGTGTTGGTTTTACAAATATGCTATGGTTTTTGTACAGTTGGATAGTTTGTTTCCATAACCTTGCCTCATATATGCTGTCACAAACAAGGTATTCCTTAAGAATTTCAACAGCTTCTTGCTGTATTGTGGTGGTGGTGGTGAATTGCAACATTTTATATTGTTGACAATTATTACCTATATGAATCATATCCAAGTAGCCATAACAGTTGTAGTATCACCCAGGTTGTGATGTGGGTTCTTACTGTCAAACTTGAAGTAACTTTTTGTATGTAATTTTGATCCAGTCTTAACAGTCTAGCTGTTGCAAAGCAGATATGTGACTTATTTAGGATACATATACCTGAAATACAGATACAAAATGCGTATTTTCACCTTGTATCTGAAATACCTTTATAACAGCTGTTTGTGACTTTCTCTTTTGGGGGTATGATAATAAGGTCTCATCGAAGAAAAATGAATGATGAAATGTTTGAAGAAAGGATTCTATTTGTCGAATCTGCGCTATCTATGCAAAAAAGTCGTTTTCTATCATTAAACAGAATTTGAAGGATACATATTTTGTGTTTAGTATTTCAGATACCTTTCCTGAAAGTATTTTGTGTCTGGTATCTGAAATACTTATTTTTAAAGTATCTTGTAGTTTGTATTCCAGATACTTTGTGCCTTCAACATCACTGCTGCAAGGATTGTATATGCTAATTAGACCAATTGATCAGACCAGTGAAATTCTACTGGAAATTTTTGTTTTTGTGATGTGACAGCATACATAGGGATTTGTTCATTAAAATTTAACGTTTTCCATTGGAATCTATTCGTTAGAAAATTTTATCATCATTCCCTTGTCTCTTCCCACAACTTCTATATATTATTTCAAAAATGCTTTATATTGCATTTGTTCTATAATGATAAATTTTGTACATTTTAATAAAATGTAGGTTTCATAAGAATACGACTTCTAATTTGAACAATCTTGACATACCTTTACTAGAAGAGAGGTAATGATTCTCCTTCACATTGCTACATCAAACGGTTTTATCCCAATGCGGATACAACAGTTTCAAGTACAGTAATTTTGATGTATTGTTCTACAAAATGGGCATCATTCTACTCTCAAAATAAACCATTTTCAGATAATAATATTTATTAACTCAAAAAATACAACTGAACAAGTAAATATAAAGATACCACAATCCCATTACTTCAAATAAGATTTATTGTACAGTATAGAACCAATGATATAGTATATGTTCCATGTGTTTCCATATAATCGCAAAGATGTGCATATTTTTGTCATTATGATAAACTCGGTAATGTTAAACCTTTTAAATTATTATTGATAATATATAATAAGTATTTCAATCACAATACTTCATGAAGATCTATAAGAATATTGTAGAACTCATAAGGGTCATAGCTCCATAACTTTGTAATCTACTTGTTTTACAACTTTTTTTTTAATCTATTGAATACATTCATTGGTAACAGGCTACGCCGAATAAAAACAATTTCTAACACAATCAAACTAACTAATAGTACAGTCAAGCTCTCCATGCTTGGGTAGACAATCCAACGTAATGGCAATAGCTCTGGTTAAGTATGTCATTGTACCATAACATCCGCTTGGTGCACTGTCGTAGAAATGCTGGCAGATACCGGCAGCGCCACCACACAACAATCCTCCGAGACGAGATGTTTCTCGCATTTCTTTAGGCTTGGCACAACATAAGGTAGCATCTCCCTCACACTTCATCTGAAACAAGATATACATAAAGCTATATTATACAGTTTATTGTTGCATAACTTTAAGATTCGATAGAACTTTTAAAATTAATGCATAAAGTCTATATAAACATGGGTCGAAAAATGCGTGGCTCCCGAAATACAGGGTGTTTAAATTTACTTTCTAAAATAGTTTCCGGTTTTTATACTGCTTTTTTTTAATTCACTAACGCTCTAATGAATATTTCAGCCGCAGTAAAGAATCAACGTTGGCGGATTTTGGTTCTTGACATCCTTTACGATCGGTTACGATGCCTAGAGTACGGAGACCTGTACGATTTCGTCAACTTAGCGAGTTTGATAGGGGCCGTATAGTGGGACTTCGGGAAGCTGGACTTTCTTTTCGGGCAATCGCAGTTAGAGTGCAAAGAAGTGTAGACACTGTGGTTAGGTGTTGTCAGGCATGGCTTCGAGAAGGCCGTACGCAAAGAGCAAGGGGCACTGGACGCCGCCGTAGAACAACAGACCGTGAAGATCGCCGCCTAAGATTATTGGCCTTAAGGGACCGTTTCTCCACTACCAGGTCCATTGCAAATGAATGGTTTGCAGAACACGGAAGACCTATTGGCATGCGAAGTGTTTACCGACGAATGAGAAGTTTTGGCTTGTTTTCATACCGGCCACACTGGGTCCTCCCTTTAACTCGAGAACACCGACGTAATCGCCTTGAGTGGTGCAGACAACGGTCACTCTGGGATCAGGAATGGAACAGTATTGTCCTCAGTGACGAGCCTCGATTTTGTTTAGGCATGCACGATGGTCGTGCCAGGGTTAGAAGACGACGTGGTGAAAGGAGGAATCCACAGTTTTTTGTTGAAAGACATGTTCATCACACTGTTGGAGTTATGGTTTGGGGTGCTATAGCTTATGGTTCCAGGTCACCTTTAATCTTCATCAGAGGTAACATGAACGCGCAGCGTTATATCCACGAAGTTCTAGAACCCCATCTTTACCCTATCTTGACACCCTGGCAGATCCAACTTTCCAACAAGATAATGCCCGACCACATGTTGCAAGAGTCACAATAGACTTCTTTCAACATAATGATGTCACATTGTTACCATGGCCACCAAGATCTCCCGACTTATCCCCAATTGAGCACGTGTGGGATATGATGGGTAGGAGATTGCTCAATTTGCAACGTCCTCCTCAGACTCTAGAAGCACTTCGAGAGGAGTTGGTGGTTGCCTGGAATGAGATACCACAGGAGGACATTGACCACCTGACCAGAACCATGCCTAGGCGCGTTGGAGAATGCGTAGCACATCAGGGTGCATCCACACATTATTAAAGGTCAAATGGCTTTAAAGCAGTGCAATCATTTTGAAATTTTTATCATTTACTTATTATGCTTCATTAAGTACTTATACAAAATTTTATTAAAATAAAACCATTTAAACTGGGTGTTCGGATTTATATGTCACTTAGTATATATATACACTTAATTGTTAATTGGGAAAATGGCAAACTTTTAGGCTTTAGTTGATTCTTTTGACGATAATATCAAGCTTTCGGCGATTCTCTATGGAGCCTTCAAAATTTCTTCTCGTTAATTAATTTTTAATATGTTCGGGTGTATTGATAGTTTTAACACATAACGATGGTATCTGTCGTTATCAATAAACCCGATGTTTCCGTCTGATTGGTTTTATAATTGTAGATTGGTTTTATAATTGTAACAAGTGCTCTCGTCTCCACGTTCGTTTTGAAACACCATTTGGCTGCAAACTCAACGAGGAGTAAGTTGTTTGACAATTTAAGTCGTTCCTGTATTGGTTGCTAGCATCACAATTGTGTTTTCAGATCCTGATGTCGGCTCCATAGACAATCGCCGAAAGCTTGATATTATCGTCAAAAGAGTTAACTAAAGCCTAAAAGTTTGCCAGTTTCCCAATTAACAAATTGGTTAAGGCCTTCGCGGCCAGTTGATAAACTGCTGTCTTGATTCGGGTCTAAAGGCCGTCTTCGGTTGGAATTTAATACAACCTGCGCAAGAGAAATCGTCTGTCTACATCCAGCATCGGAAATGGAAGGACCTCTGAAGAAGCTTGCCACTCGTGCTAGCGAAACGTTAGGCAGAAATTCCAACCGACGACGGCCTTTAGACCCGAATGAAGAGTTTCCCCAATTAACAATTAATTGTATTTTTGCTCAACTGGTCGTTGGCAATGGCAATGACTACTGCTCATATATATATATATAACTTGAGACGTGGTCATTGTCGTCTAGACCAGTTAGGTGAAAAATTAAAGCTTCCGCCTTTTGTTGGGTACTTCGACAAAATTTAAGCAAAGAGGACTCTTTATACTTTTTTTATTCTCTCTAGCTTTCAATGGACTTTGCCATCATCATCAGGAGCTGCAATTACATTGATAACAGTAGCAACAATAGTGTAAAATGAATTTAAATTGACTTAACTTACAGTGGTATGTGAGGATGTTGCTAATTGTTGTTAACGTTCAGGATGAGGGAAACACCCAGTAACATGGTAACAGGTTGTCAATGTCTGTGTAGAAAGATGGAACGAATTGTGGGCGTGTGCCACGTTGCCGAATCACTTCAGATGATGTGATTTTCAGAATGTTATGTAAGAAATTGTTAAACCGACCAGAGGCAGTTGAATTAACTATATTTTAATTAATGGGTAATTAAATTACAATTATTATTCGTGGTCGATTCCACCACTAAACTTCATTCCACTCAAATTCTAATAATTTTCTCCTCACGATTTAATAATAATTGTAATTTAATTGCCCATTAATTAAAATATAGTTAATTCAACTGCCTCTGGTCGGTTTAACAATTTCTTACATAACATTCTGAAAATCACATCATCTGAAGTGATTCGGCAACGTGGCACACGCCCACAATTCGTTCCATCTTTCTACACAGACATTGACAACCTTCTGTCAAAGGGTTCATCTCACTCATTATTCCATGACCACCATTTTGTGCAATCATCAAGTGGCTTCACGATGTAATGCTTTCATGTTCTAAAAAATTTTTAATCTGTTTTTAACTTGTTCTTGTCACACATTTGTGTGTATTTTATATAATTTTGACCATTGTACCATCTATCCAGCTTTCACCATGTTACTGGGTGTTTCCCTCATCCTGATCGTTAACAACAATTAGCAACATCCTCACATACCACTGAAAGTTAAGTCAACTTAAATTCATTTTACACTATTGTTGCTACTGTTATCAATGTAATTGCAGCTCCTGATGATGATGGCAAAGTCCATTGAAAGCTAGAGAGAATAAAAAAATAGTATAAAGAGTCCTCTTTGCTTAAATTTTGTCGAAGTACCCAACAAAAGGCGGAAGCTTTAATTTTTCACCTATATATATATATATATATATACAGTGAAAGCTCTCCTTGCGGACAGCTCCTATAAGCGGACATCTCTTTTAACCGGACAAAGTTCCTGGAACCGAATTTCAGCCATCAATTTTCAATGTTAAATGCATTCCGATAAACGGACGCTCTTATAAACGGACGCGGGCACTAGATTTTCCTGTATGTGATCAAAAAATCTCCCATAAGCGGACGCGAAACTCTAATACCCGGACGATTTTTTAGTTCCGCTTATTGCAATGCACATATCTACATACATAAAATTTGGTAATTCCCCGATTTATATTAGGTGATTCCCCATTTACGCATTTCGTTGGGTAGCCTGTATGTAATCTTGTGGCTTGTCTTCAGTTCAGGCAAATTCGTAGTTGATTGAGTTACGTATTTTATTATTGTAACTGTAAAATGGCACCAAACAAAAGGATGCTCTCGTTAAAGGAAAAGATGGAAGTTGTTAACGTATTAGACAGAGAAAGTGTTTCAGTTCGTCATTTGGCAAAGAGGTTTAATATTGGGAAAACGCAAGCAGCTGAAATTGCCAAAAATAAGGAAGATATCAGGAGTAAATGGCAATCAGGAACTAATATAAATCAAAAGAAGGATTTTTTAAAAAAGGAAGGTTTTGCTATAGACAAAACATGTTTTGAGTGGTTTGTGAAAGCTAGAAGTCAGAACATTCCAATCTCATGGCCGTTAGTGAAAATGAAAGCTAAAGAAATCGCCACTACTTTGGGCTATAATAATTTCAGTGCGTCCGACGGGTGGCTGCAAAAGTGGCGCAAGAGACATAGTGTGAGTTTCAAATGCATATCTGGCGAAGCTGCTGCAGTAGATCAAGTTGATGTGTCACAATTTTTGGAGAAACTTCCGTCCATGTTCCTTGGCTACAAACCAGAAGATGTGTACAACGCAGTTGAGAGTGGACTTTTTTTTCGCGCATTGCCCGACAAAACTCTGTCCTTTAAAGGAGAAACATGTGTGGGTGGAAAGTTGTCTAAAGATAGACTAACCATTTTATTCTGTGCAAATATGGCCGGTGAAAAATGCGATTTGATTGTGATCGGGAAAGCGGCTCGTCCCCGTGCTTTAAAAAACGTTGCTATTAAGGATCTACCAGCGACTTGGAAATCCAACAAAAAGGCATGGATGACCCGAGAAATCATTTCTGAGTGGTTAGTCGAATTCGACCGGAAAATGAGAATCCAAAAAAGGCAAGTTCTTTTATTTTTAGACAATGCATGCTCTCATCCTCGTGATATGAAAATGAAAAATGTGAAAATTATATTTTTACCGCCAAACACAACTTCTGTTTGTCAGCCCATGGATCAAGGTGTCATACAGAACTTTAAATTTTATTATCGGCACTTGATTTTAAAACATATTTTAACAAAAATTGACGATGGTCAAAGCTTATCTGAGCTTACAAAGTCTATCAATGTGTTAGAAGCTTTGTATTTTATAAAAACAGCATGGAATAAAGTAAATTCCTCTACAATTAAAAACTGTTTTGGCAAAGCTGGATTCAGAAAAAGTGAATGTAGCTCAGAATTTGCTGAGCAAAATTATTGCGATGCTGAAGACGATCTGCCCTTAGCGACACTTGCTCAGTTACTGCGACATGCCAAACATTTAGGAGTAGCAGATCCCCAGAAAGTAGATGATTTCCTGGCCATAGACAATAACATAACAACAGAAGAAAATGCCATTGGCAACTTTTCGAATTTGGATGTAGAAAGCCCAGGCCAACTTGAATATGGTAGTCCAAACGACTCAGAAGAAGAAGTGGAACTGGTGGACTCACTAAGCGGTTCAAAAACGATAAATTCATATGGGGAAGCTCTAAATCATATTTCTATATTGAAAAAATTTGCTAAAGATGATTTCACTGCATTTCAACATTTGAAAAATTTAGAAAGTTATTACGAAAATTGTCTCCTTCAGCAAAAGATGGTGAAATTTCGTCAGACAAACATTTTAAACTTTTTTCAACAAGCTAAAGAATAATGTTTTTTTTAAATTCTCGTACCATATATTGATATATAGCATAAATACATACTTTAAAAATGTGGCGAGTTTCTGTTTCATTTTTCTCATGATCATAATACCTCATTTCCTCATGATTATATACCCCGTTATTTATACTCTATACTTACATACTCTCTTTTACACGGACACCTCCCATAAGCGGACAAAAGTTACGGAACCGTGAGTGTCCGCTTATGGGAGCTTTCACTGTATATATATATATATATATATATATATTACTTACATTATTCTCATTTATAACTTGTCGGAATTTCCTGAGTTATGTTCAGACCTAATTCAGGGAACCGAACCTCTGTCAATTCAGCCATATACTGCTACACATTCTGAATTAATTATATGGCTCTCATTGCCTTTTAAAATAATGTATTCCAAATAAAAAAAAAATGATTAATGAATAGTAGCCATTTTGCTTGTAGCGTTTTTTTTATATGCAAAGGTACTTTTCTAAATAAAAGAAATGTTAGCGTGTACAAAATGAATCTGTACCGTACAAAAAACATAACAAAATACGGACCTGTCTACTTGGTGTTGACGGATACCTCAGCATTAATTATGTGCCACTTGTCGATATGGGGAGTTTTCAAATATCACTAGATAATCAGCTGTTGTTCTACCGAGATGGATACTCGTGAAAAATACATTAGGTCGCGTTATATAGTAATCGTACTCGTTATTCTAAGCGCCGTGTCCTCAGCAACGCAGCGCTTTTAGTGTTGTTGTATCGACAGTAAATTGTATTAATGAAAGTAATCTAATTTACGAACATTTCATAAAACTAACAAATGTAAAGAAACGTCACTCAAAAGCTATCAAAGCAATGGATATAAAGTAACTTAGGCCCGTATCGTCAGTCGTCCCTACAATTGTAGGGCGCGTTTATGGCCTCCTTGATTGTCATACTCCTTTCTCTCCTTCAAAAATTTCTAGATTACACTTGTCCCGTGTCAGCGTCAGCTTGTGAAGATATGTTTTCTTTTTAAATTGTAGGAAATTTCAGGCTGATAAAACATAATATAACTCAAAAGCAAGCACAATTTGATGCAAATAGATGTTTGTGACAAACTCAAAATAGAGTTCTGACACGGAGAAGTAGAAAACTATGACAATCAAGGAGGCCATAAAGTCGGCCTACAATTGTAGGGACGACTGACGATACGGGCCTTAATTCTGAATATATTGAAACAAGATTTCAAAACTTAAGAATTTATAGCATTTGAGTAATTTCTGGTTTGTTGTTTTATCTACTAACCTGATCGTCCAAAAATAGTTCATTCGCCTTATGCACCAAATATTCTACTTGGATAATCCCACCCAAAGTTGCTACCACATTGTACTCCACTACAAGAGTCAGTACCATCAAAGCTTCAACAATCAACTGTCTGTATTCTGGTTGAGGTATGGTATTCAACACAGTTTCCACTGCGAGGGCAAACTTCAACTCCCCAGGCGTCATCTCTTGAGTTAATGTCTGTGGGAGAACCTTTCCTGCGATGTCCAATCCTTGACACTGTAAGGTGATGAAAATCATGTAGCAAATCAGACGCATAATTTTAAATAGCAGGGCCGGTCCTCCCGGGTATGCAGTGATTGCCCCGCACTCAGGCGCTATATTTATAGGGGCGCCAAATACTTGGTTATTTGGTTCACGTTCCAAAAATATGTTATTTAATATTCCGTCTAGTACCCTGAGATTGATATCATTTGCCAATAGCCCTCAGTACCCTGGAGTAGATGCGAGTAGTGGAATGCTAAGTTGCCTACAGTGTCTGTGACAATAAGCCTACTTTTTCCATTTATTATGTTGTCTACACTAGCAATGACATATCCGCCAACACTGGATTGTTCGCAAGCGTGTTTATTGTGAGGTGACTAATGAACTGCTACAAACAAGTAAAAGAGTAAACTAGCACATATTAATCAATCTAAGGTCCCTTGCACACTATTATTAGTTACGTACTCATAGTATCCTTTTTGTGTAATATTCCAAAATCCCTCGTTAATTTATTCATTTCTACAGTGACCTTTTTTGTGACATTAAAAAAATAAATCCTTCAAACTGGGTCGTTTTATTTTTCTTTTTTATATAAATTGTATTGATGACATATAATATTGTAAGAATATGTTATGATATAGGGCATCTTAAATTCAAGACATAGGGGCGCTCCAAAAATCCTGCACGCAGGCGCTCACCACCCTAGAACCGGCCCTGAGTCAAGGGACTAAGACAATAGTAAAAAGAATACGCCAAATCTGAGGAAATTGAGGAGTTGCAGCCGCTCTTACACTCGACTACCTTGCACGTAGTTTAAATAAACGTATTAGAAACTTGCGAATGCATAATTATAATAATAATAATTTATTCACATCAATTACAAATTGTGCACAAATTTATATACCACAAAAGAAAAATGTCCTTGTATGTGGATATCATGCTAACACATAACATAGCAGTTATAATAAACTGATAGGACTGAAGAAAAAAAAACTGTAATATATAAATGTAATATGTATATTAATTTTGAAGAAACCGTAAATGTTACTTTTTAATAAATTACATTATTGTTATATCAGTTTTCAAAAGCCACTCGTATAAATCTATTTTTAATAATGATATTCGGTTTTTTCTAATATATTTTGGTAAGTTGTGATACAATTTCGGAGCTAAGTATTTAGAAGATTTCAACTTTATTTCTTTTTTTTTTGGTGTTGCAATAATTATTTGTTTATTATTATTTCTCGTATCATATTCATAATTTTTATAAATGGTCGAATGTTTCTTTTTATGGAATTCTATTATAATATTATACCAAAATAATTTTTTTATATCTAACAGTTATGATTTTATAAAGAGCATTACCTTTTCAAGGATACCCCAAACCCTAGGATAAAAATCTCTAGGAACTCTGTTTAAAGCACCATCCAAACGTCTTCTTCTCAACCACTGGCCTTGGCGATCTGGTTCAACTTCTTCTGCAGCATCTCCAAGGCTTATATGGCTTTTCTATGCAAATGCCAATGAAGCATATTTAAGTTGCAATGTTATAAGAAAAAATGTGTTTTAGTAACTTTGTTGTTAAACTAAGGCCAGGTTTTTCAATCAAGTTGAGTAACTCTAACCGAGAAGTTTACTATCAGTTGCTTTGTAACGATATGTTTATTTTTAAAATTTAAGTCATGTTATATAAGAATTGTTATGATCACCCCTCGTACATACATATAATTCCGCGATCTATTCCATAAATTGAAAAAATATTCGTAACAGTATCCCTGTTAGGTAGTGTGGGACCCCGTTGTGCCCTAGACAGTTTCAAAGGACGTAAACAATGTTCGTAGTTTTTGTCGCATTCCATTTACTATTTTTGCTCGCCGGATAAAATAGGTGTTTCAAAGGAGATTTATGAATATTGGATACTCAGAATTTACTGGTGTAATTTTCAAAAATCAATTAATTGATTTATTTATTGCCTTGTTGGTTTTGGGACATGTCCCCATTTTTATAAACGGGATTTGTTACTGAAAATATGTTAAATAAATACATAAATAATATTCACTTCGATTGGACTGAAAGGTAGTATAGGTAATGGTCCAAAAATAGACATACAATGCATAAAACAAACAAGATAACATTGCACAGTAAGTACAGACTATAATAGTCAAAGCACATTTAATAATTTTCATTAAAGTATTCTTCTACTGAGTAAAAAAAAATATGAAAATATATTTTTACAAATTTTATAAATACCACCACCGTATTAATATCTTTTACATGGACAGGCAGTTTATTGTACAATTTCACGCGCATTGACAGGCCCTTTTGAAATGAGAGTAAGCCTATGTGCTGAAAGTTCCAAATTGAGGTTCTGACGCAATGTTGTACCTAGTGACGTCGGTATCTCTCTAAAAATAATTATTAAATGTTTTTCTTCGCATAATGCAATTAAAAATATAGAGAACAAACTGTCATGCTATTGTAATCTTTGAACAGTGTACGGCATGAATGTATCTTACCTTTGCCAGGTATGGTTCTCAAGATTCTTTTTTGAATTAAGAATATTTCATTGGCTTTGGTACAGTTACCCCAGCACAAAATACAGTAGTTGCACTTTACGTGCACATTAACAAAACCTCGATATGTTGACGCTCTACCAGTCCCATTTCGGAAGGAATCAATTACGATAATTTAGTTATCAACTACACTATGTATATAAGTGATAATGGGATTATTTGTGAATTACATAATAATTATACAAACGTGTACGGACAAGGGAATTCTAGAGTTGGGGTTTGGCGGACATCACACAGCCCCTAATGGCTTAAACCTGTGATATAGGTTAGGTAAAATTAATTTCTGGTTTTGTAAATCTAATTCCTGGTTGCGATGTGTCGGACAGTGTAACATAGGTTTCAGCGAAGAACGACTCGCCAAATAACACTTCTTTGCTTGCCATTATTAATAACTTTGTCCAGGCTTGCAACCGATTGGGACAATAGTTAAAAATCGAGTCATAGTGTATAATCTATACATTCTATGAAGGAGGAAAAGTTATGTCTTCCTAGTTTTAGTTGAGAAGTAGAGAGCCCACTAAGCACCTTTAAATAGTAGGATTTGAGAGAACGGAAGTATGTCTTCTGAACCCTGGAATTACCGTGTCTTCACTGCAGCTGCTCATATGAGTTCTGGAAGACCAGAGAGATGTATCCGCACTATAAAAAGAATGTTAACACCCGAGGGAAATAAGCATCTTTACGAGGTCTAAGTTTGTGCCAGTTAGTCGACTAACCACAGTAAGCTCATTACAGCCTGTAGACTGGTTTTTCAAATTGGGTTAACCAAATCATAGTTGTTAATGCGATAGTCGTGTTACTAGAACACGAAACTTCAAAAAGCCTGTCAAGCTCTTGTTATTGTAATGGGACCTCGGTTGGCCGCGTGGGTCAGAGTCTCGTGCTACTGATCAGCCGGCCGGCCGGGCCGCGAGTTCGAATCTCGCCTTCGCCATGGATGTTGTGTGTTTGTTTTTAGGCAGCAGCGGTGGCCGCAGTAGTAGACTCTTCGGTCTCCTGATCAGTCGCCGTGCGCTGTGCGGGTTCGAGTCCCGTCCCAGGAGAAATGTTTCTCTTGGCTATGGATGTTGTGATTGTCCGTAGGTGGTAGATGGTCTCTGACTGTCGAACGCGGAGGTACCACCAGGCGGTTCTCGTAGGCGGAGCCAGAATGTGTGCATGTTGCATGCACACGTGTTCCCTCGCCAGAGTCCGTGTGGCGTCCCCCTTTCCCATGTATCCCCTATAGCCCCACGGTACCCAATGGGTGCTTAGGCCTTAGGCCTTCGTGGTAGTTGGAGTATTAAAAAAGAAAAAAGGCGTACTAATTGGCTTCAATTTTCTAGTTAACCGACAAAGCTACGGACGTTCCTTTGGGTAAAGTTAAGTATCGTTTCACGAGTTGACTTCCATTTAATACTATAGCGCCCTCGTAAACTAGAACTTTGAGGTACTGAGACGCCCTCAAAACATAGATGCTTAGGCAACCACAATTACGCGATCCTGTTTGAAGCATTCGACACGCATCGGGAAGCATTTACCGCCATCCAGAACCACCGATCGTCAGCTTCGATGAAGATTCACTTTCTGTGTGATTCGTCGATTTGGAATAAATAGGCGCTTCGACGGTGAAATGACAGAGTCGTCGATGAGTAATGAGATGGTAATAAATGAGTTGCAAGTATTGTTATAAATTAGTGTAGGAGTAATAAATTTAACATCGCATGTCCCTTTTTTTTCAACAGCCTGTCTTCTTAATGCTTTTCGTCCGATTGTTTCATGCTGTCTACCTATAGGAGATGACAATATTTCTTTCTTTTTTGGCAAAAAATGCATTTTTATGCTTTTTTTCTTCAATCGTAACTTGTTAACAAATGTTTGTACAGCTCTAAAATTTTAAGTGAATATTCTCTGTTATGGTCCTTAATTTCTCTCTTCAAAAATCTTTGTTTTTCTCAAAAACTCAATTTGTTGCAAAATGGGGTATCAAGAAAATCAAATCCAATGTAATCTTTTTCCTTTTTTTTGTCAAACATTGCATTTTTCCTTCAATTCTAGCTTGTTAACAAATGATAGTACTGCTCTAAAGTTTTATGTAAATATTCCACTTTCATGGAAGAATGAAGCAAGTAATTACTTGTTTTCGTATCACTTTCTCTCTTCAAAAATCTTTTCTTGAAAACTCAATTTGCTGCAAAATGAGATTTCAAGACAATCAAAGATTTTTCGAAGAGAAAAAGTGATAAGAATAAATTAATCACCAGTTTCATTTTTCGATAAAAGTGGAATATTCACATACAGTTTCAGTGCTTTACTAATACGACGTTTGTCCGGAAAATAAGTATAAAAAATTCGGAGCTTTGTGTCAAGGTGTTCTGGAGAGGTGGCCCGGGTGTGCTTGTTGAAAATAACCCTTTTTTTACCTGCCGTCGGTGTGGAGCTCTCTATGATCGAGGAACAACGCATCAACATTAAGTTTCTTGCAAAGCTAGGCAAGAATCGTCGTAAGATTTTTGACTGTTTGAAACAAGTTTATGGGGACAATTCTCTGAAGGAACCAACTGTCAACAAGTGGTTGAAAAGGTTCCGGGAAGGTGAAGGAGATGTGAAAGATGAACAACGCTCAGGACGCCCCTCCCCATCGAGCTCTGAGGGAAATGTTGCACGAATTGCCGTGTTCTTAAAGACCGTCGATTGATATTTAGAATGATAGCGGAGGAATTGTCAATCTCCAAAACAATCGTTCGCGAAATTCTGATAGGAAAACTTGAAATGAAAAAATTGTGAGCGAAAATCGTTCCGAAGCTCCTGGAGGAAATGGGGGACTTTCTCAACCGGGTCATCACTGGAGACGAGCCTTCGTTCTACGAATGCGATGTGGAGCTGAAATCTCAAAGCATAGAGGGGAAGCAAGCAGGAGAACCGAGAACAAAAAAAAATCAAAACACAAGGTCCAATGTGAAAAAAATCTCGATTTTTTTTTCTTTGATTCTCGGGGCATTGTTCACCGGGCATTTGTCTCTCCCGGCCAGACAGTGAACGGAAATTACTACATTGAAGTTTTGCGTCGTTTCAGAGCTCGTGTAGCCCGAGTTCGATCAGATTTGACAGAAGGGGGCAGGTGGATCCTTCGTCACGACAACGCGCCTTCTCACACATATCTCGTTGTGCGTGAGTTTTTGTCACCGTCACAGAACGCACGCCTTATTCACCCGATTTAGCCGTTTGCGACTTCTTCCTGATCCCAAAATGCAATCTGGTACTTCGAGGACGGCATTTGGGGGGTGTGGAAGTCATCATATCAACAGTGGAAACGGCGTTGGCAGAAGTGCAGGGACGTACTTTCAAAGAGACCATATTGAAATACTTGAAAGGTTGTAAAATAAAATTATGATTCCACTTTTATACGAATTTTCCAGACAAACCTCATACTTGTTAACAAGTAACAATTGTAGAAGAAATGCACAAAAATGCTTTTATTGGCAAAAAAATCATAGCATTGTTTTTTAGTCATCAGATGAAATAATCAGATGAACGGGATTTAGAATACCTGCAAACAGGTAGTTAAAATAAGAAGCGAAAAAAATGGTCGTACGACCTTAAATAACAAAAACAGTGTTTGCATTAGAATACTAACATCACAGTTAACCTGCGATTGAAAAGCCAGGGCTAACCAAATGAAATGTAATGTCCCTTGTACAAGTACATTACCTTGCTAATTCGACTAGATTTATTCGTCACAATCGAAAAGTTTCCTCTTCCCACTGAAACAATAAATAGTATCATAATAATACCTACATACACTCAGTATACTCCCAAATCTTACCACTACTGATTGCAAATTCTTTTCCACTCAATATGTGATGCAGCAAGTTCTTCATTTCAAATGGACTCAAGTTTAACAAATGCTCGGATGCCTCGTCTCCATCGCATATTAGTGTCCTTGACAGCTCAGTAGCCATTACCTAAAAAGTCATTTCAAGATTTAAGTGGACTTTGATGCCTTACATGCCATACTAAAAACATCTAATTTCGATATGCCGTGAAAAACATAAATTTATAGAACACCGACTCTGTACGTATTTGTTACTACGAACCGATAAACCAACAAATCAGGATACGAATTTAATGGTTAGCTTTCTATATACGTTTTTTTTTTGATGAGCGCATCCACAACAAATTGAGAGATAGCGAAAACGGGCGCCGTCGAAATTCGAACTTGCATGTCCTCCATTCCGTGGAGCCGATCCTACCAATTAGTCTACAGCACACCTGCCAACCAACAGTCAGGATCGACTGTTCGAGACAAATTCAATCCTACCCACGCGACTGCTCCGTTCTCTCAAGCTGCACTGGTGCCCCATCAGATGGCGTACAAGTGATACAACCGGATTGCTAAGGTATCTCCAATCGCTTTCTAGTTGCACCACGCCGCCTCGCCTGTATACGATTTTTTGGATGAGCGCATCCGCAACATCGGGTATGTTTGGTAAACAGCAGCTTGAGAAATGGGAAAAACTCCTCAGGCGCCCATTTTTCCTACCTTTCAAGTTGTTTACTCGGTGTTGCGTATGCGCTCATCCGAAAACTCATGTACATGTTACCATTTTCGCACGGTGGTGCCGTGGTGTGTGCCCACAAGGCGACGTGGTGCAACTATACCCTATTCGTAGGCACAACAAAGATGAAGCGCGGCAAAGCGGCAGCCGCCTAAGCGTTGCATTAGCTATTGGTCATTCCGCCATAATACTACGAACAAATGCAGGATTAGACAGGATAGAACTCAGAAGTGTGTTTATACGTTAGCATGTCGTCTACAAATACAGCAGAGGAAACTGAGAATATTTACCCCAATGCTTTCTTCAGCCATGCTTCCTCTTCAGTGATGTCTCCTCCCCAAAAACGTGACAAGAAGGGACATTTGAATATTCAGGCAAAAGAAATTGTCCTTAACGTTTATAAGAGCGAAATTTTAGAGCATCCTGAAATAAAAATTCATGATATTGCAAGACGTGTGGCGAACAAAACAGGCTTATGCCCTAAGACAATTTTCAACATTGTTAAAGAATATAAAAAAAAAACAAAAAAATGTCTCCATCACACAAAAGGCATTACACGAAGCTGTTGGATACAGTTGATAACTTTGATCGGAATACCATCAGACGCAAAGTCCATCAATTTTTTGAAAGGCAGGAACTTTCGACCATAGACAAAATATTACAGAAGATTAATAGTGAAGACGACTTACCTACTTGCAAAAGGACCACATTCTATAGTTTACTCAAAGAACTTCATTTTGAGTATAGAAAACGGGTCAGAAATAATATTTTGATGGACAGCAAAGAGATTATTTTATGGAGAAGAAATTATTTAAAATCAATAAAGAAATACCGCGACCAGGGCAGGAAGATCAAAACCTAAAGTATGGGCTAACTCTACAATTAAATCAGCAAGACAAGCCTTCTTAGATGGACTACAAACTGGCCTGAAGAATCCGTCAGGTACGTGAATCTAACCAGTTCATTTGTGTTGTAAAAATGGTGTCAAGTAGACTGAATCTATGAGCCCACGCTGAAAAGTTGGCTACACTAAACTTAGCTACATCTGGTAGATTTGGAACCACCTGTTACATACTTTGCTTGTATTATTGTTAGTTTTCTTGAATACTATATGAAATAATCATTTCCAGGAAAAAGAAAACGATTTGTTATCTGTCACCTTCGCAGTGAAGATGGCTTTGTGCCCACTGCCCTATGGTCATTTGAGTCAAAGAAAACGACCGACTACCATGAAGGAATGGACGGGAGTGCATTTGAACGGTGGTTTGAAGAAACGCTCGTAAAGCTTTACGACAATGCCGTCGTTGTACTTGATAAAATTCCCACAATGTCCACAAAAAAGGCAGAAATTCAACAATGGCTCCTGTCAAAAGAAACTAGTTTCAATGAAAATATGGTCAAAGCAGAACCTATCCATCTAGTCAAGTAGCACAAATATAAATATAATCTTAATGTTATTGAAGAACTGGGTAAAAACCAAAATTAGACCGTTTTAAGGCTACCCCCTTACTACTGCGAATTAGATCCCATTGCAATGATTTGGGCGAATATAAAAAACTATGTGGCAACAGAACATTCAAATTTTCTGAGGTGAAAAATTTGTTTTATGAAGCTGTCAACAGAGTGATGACAAACCATTGGAAAGATTGCATCCGTCGCGTTCATCAAGAAACAATCGAAACAAAGATGTGGGATCTGGTCAATATGATCGATATTCAAATTGGACCTGTAATAATTAATATTAACCATTCGGACGATGATTCAAGTACTTCCAGCGAATAAAGAATTGTGAAAAGTATGAGCACTTCTCTCTATAAAAATAATAATTTATTTTGTCCGATTATGGGCGTAAAAATAGACTATGAATGGGGTATAGGTTGCGATTGGATATACCTCACCAATCCGGTTGTTTCACTTGAACGCCGCCAGATGAGGCTCGAAGGCAGCCTGAGAAAAAAGGTAGTAGTGGCGTGGGATTGATTGAATTTGTCTTTAAAAGTGGATTGAAAGTCGGTTAATAGCTAGTGCTGTAGACTAATTGGTTAGGTCGGCTTCACGGAATTAAGGAGATGCGGGTTCGAATTCCCCCGGCGCCCATTTTCCTACCTCTCAAGTTCTTATTTACCAAACATACTCGTTAGTTTACCTGTATGATAAGTCCAACTCTTAGCCTGAGCATTTCCAAAAACAATTGCGGTTCAGTTCTGATAAACATGGCCAGATATAGTAGCAACTCTTGAGTCAACATCGCAGCACTATCATCTTCTCCGTATGCTTCCCTGATCAACAGTCGGAGATCGGATTCCGGTAAAGGAGCTGTGATTGTATGTTCATTGTTTGGCGGCATTCCCACAGTTATCTGCTTCTGGCGTACCAACAAATCGGTCACCGATTTTGCGAGGTCTTCAACACGCTTGCCCAACATGCCTACGTCATCATTAATTGGCAACTAAGTAACTAACATCAAACAAGAGCATACTGAGGCTTTAGAACAAATAGTTGAAAAGCAAAATAGTCAGTAACAGCAATCAATAAAAATCCTCGTGGAGCACTAAAAATTAATGACAATATTTTAACTACATAAAAACGTGTAAGCATTTCATTTTACTAGAAGCCAATTCTATCCATTCCTAGGTATTGGATATTTTTTAAAAGTAATCATTATCATCTACAATGACCTTTGTTGTTTACTGATGCCCTTTTAAACCAACATAACATCAATTCTGTTTGAAAAACATGGCGCTTCCTGCTGTAATTCATACTAACCTGCAGTGTGTCTAACCAATCCCCACATTTTTTGCTGGCAAGCCTTTTCGTATAGTCCTTTCAACAAGTCTTTGACAGTTACCACTTTACCATATTCTAACATCCCCGTATTAAAATCTAATCCTTTGGTATCTACTAAATACTGCAAAATATCTCCCTGCTCCTCTAAAGCTTCTGACTCACGGAGCATTGCAAACAATTCTTCTACCTAAAAAGTTGATTTTGGAAATAAGCGCAATACAATACACATTTTTTACCGTTTTTATGACTATCTAAGCATCTATAAAGTTATAACCACCTTCTCTTCAAGGTAAATGATACAAATCTAAAAATCAATAGAGTCAATGATACAAAATATTTAGGTATTCATCTAGATCCCCAGTTGCGATGGGACGTACATATTTCTTATAAACAAAGGGTACTAGAAAAGTTTTACAATGCAGCGTTATTTATTGACTTCGTTCAAAGTAACTTCCACTACATTCAATACACTTCTCCATCCGCCAAAATCAGTCCTTAAACCTCGTTGTCCCAAGCCCTTAGAAGGTCCTTATCGCTAGAAACCGATTTTCTTTTAGCTTCATTTTCACATGCGAAAACAGTGCAAGGTCGCAGGGAGCAAGATCTGGACTGTAAGGAGGGTGCTCAATAAGTTTCAGTCCAGTAGTGGTCAAATACTCAGCTGCAGCATTGCCATGGTGGAGGTACCAAGTATCCATTCTTGACTTTGCTATTATTTTTTTCTTAACAAATCGGGATTTTCTGACAGCTGCGGCTGTGTCCTCTCCATCAAAGACCCAAACTTTGTTTTGGGATGTGGTCTGCACATCGTAATAATAGAGCTAAGTCTCGTCACCTGTCACGATGTTGTTCACATACCGAGATTGCTCCTTATCAAACATTTTCAGCATCTTTCGGCACCAAGTCGTACGACGAGTCTTCTGCTTTTCGTCAGACTATGCGGTACTCAGAGAGAAAAAAGTTTCCTTACGTGTAAATGGTCATGCAGAATCAAATGAATTGCTGGTGCGTGAAGGTGTAAGATCTCCTCTATCTGTTGGTATGTCACTCTTCGGTCTTCGTCAAGCATTTTCATCGCAGCAGTAATCTTTTCCTCTGTTACTGGCGTTTGCGGCCTTCCTTCCCTCTCAGCGCCCTCCAGAGTGAAACTGCCCCTTAGGAATTCTCTGTACCACCTGAATATAGTCGTGCGATGAGGACAATCACTCTTTAATGCAAGCGTCATTTCTTCTAAGCACTAGTCTATGCACCCGTAAAGTTATACCGTAAAACTGCCCTTATCTCACTACGTGACCATGATGCCATAGTCGGCACTTTACACTGCCAATCGAATGAACAACTAAATCAATAGACGAGCTGCTGCAGACTCATGGACATGTCTCAACATGCAGTAACATGCAGCCTCCTGCGTTCGTTTGTTAAGTCATATTGCAAAACTTTTATATTACCCTTTGTATTGAAGAAATTAGATTCATAGCATATAAAATATAATTTCTAACTGGTAAATTAACTGAGTATTATCTACGAATAATATATCAAGCTTTAGTCGAGCCAATCATAACATACGGTATAGTGGTATGAAGAGGAATTTGAAATCAATGTTTGGCAAATCAAAATTATATCCAACTGATTACTTGTATAAAGATGCACAAGTATATGATACCAAACAATTTTACTTCTTACATACATCACTCATTATCACAAAATTATTAGTGAACACAGTTAAACATTGTCACAACACCAAGTCCACCAAGGCAGCAGCGGTGGCCGCGGTAGTAGACTCTTCGGTCTCCTGATCAGTCGCCGTGCGCTGTGCAGGTTCGAATCCCGTCCCAGGAAAAATTTTTCTCTTGGCTATGGATGTTGTGATTGTCCGTAGGTGGTAGACGGTCTCTGACTGTCGAACGCGGAGATACCACCCGGCGGATCTCGTAGGCGGAGCCAGAATGTGTGCATGTTGCATGCAGACGTGTTTCCTCGCCAGAGTCCGTGTGGCGTCCCTCCTTTCCCATGTATCCCCCTATAGCCCCACGGTACCCAATGGGTGCTTAGGCCTTAGGCCTTCGTGGTAGTAGGGAGTATAAAAAAAAACACCAGATATAAATTACGCGCAAAAAATATCCCTAAACCAAACAAATCTGTAATGAAACGATGACGTAATTAGCTCCAAAATTATATCAACATTTACAAATAATTTAAAACAATTTCATAGAATTAAGTTTAAAAAAATAAAAGTAGATTAACACTGACGGAATAATCTCACATATTTCACAGTAAATGCTATCATTGTTACAAATAATTGTGTGTTTTATCTCTTTCTTTTTTTATATATTTCAATTCGACATACAATTGGTTCATGCACAGGTATTGTCACTCTAGGGATAAATTATATTTATTTACTCATTTCATGTTACCTGTATTTATAAAGAAAATAAAAAAGTAACGCAAAATTATCTCACCTCAGTATCAGCATATTGAGAGTCGGACTGTTGGCGATACTTAGATATAGTCACAGCGGGAGTTTCTCTCTTTCTAAATTCTCTATTAGGCTCCTCAGGTGAAGGTGATCTCATATCTTTTGAATGATCAACTACATCTAGTTGGTTTGATGTGAAGAACATAGAACCACGTCGTTCTAAACTTGCTTCACTCTCCATGCCTAGTGTTTCAGCTGAAATCGATAAGAGAATAAATAAAATTCTAATGCCTTATCTTAGTTTAATTTAATTTCAAGTGTTCGTTTTATTGCATGTCTTAGTATTAGTATTTTTTAGAGAATATTAATAAACTCTCAAATTATGTATTATGACGAAAGATACTTACAACACTCCAAGGCTGCCCACATGCAAACATCCAAATATTAGTTCAATTTATCATAACTTATTAGAAAGGACAGATTATTTCGATTTTGTTCACAGCTTTTGCTAGCATTTTATTGGAGCAATTTCATGTGAGCCAATTGGAGTAATATTATAGTAATAAGAGCGAAATAATATCTGTGTAAAAATAAGCGTGTCACTGTCAGGATAATTTGAGCTTCTGTCAATCAGACTCTTGTAGGTGTCCCATTCGCCATGTGTTGAAGAACAACTATCTCTATCATTTAAGTTAACCAAAAACAATTTTATGTATTTATAGTGTAGTACTCACAGTCAACATTTATAGATCTGGTCTTCTTGACTGCTCCCTTAACCGACATCCTTCTTTTGAGCAAGTGTCTGCCCTTAGCGCTGGTCCGCCTAGCGTTTAGGAGCTGACACTTTTGTGATAGAGTTCGGACTGAATGTTCCTCTAAATATTGTTGTACTTGAAGGTTCAGCTCTACAAAAAACATTGGTTATATATCCGATAAAGAGCACGAGAAAAATTGTCCAACTGGAACACTCACTATCTGGCATTCCTTCTTCGTGAGAACCGAGAAAACTTAAATTAGTTATGCAGCTTGTGCTCAGAAAATCAGAGAGATTGCCCAAAGTCACTCTTGTTCCATTGATATAGCCGGATTTTAACTTTTTCATGGTTGTCATCATCGCTAGGGGCAACTTTCCATCTTCTAAAATGTTATTTATATTCGATTTTAGCAGAAACTCTTTCTTAAAATGGACAAATAGTAGATTTATGATACCCACTTCTTACACTACTATTGAACTTATCATGCGATTACTAAACATATTAACATGCTGCTTCTACATGCACCTATTTCTAAAGCCCGTATCGTCAGTCGTCCCTACAATTGTAGGGCGCCTTTATGGCCCCCTTGATTGTCATAGTTTTCTACTTCTCCGTGTCAGAACTCTATTTTGAGGTTATGTCACAAACATCTATTTGCATCACATTGTGCTTGCTTCTGAGTTATATCATGTTTTATCAGTCTGAAATTTCCTACAATTTAAAAAGAAAACATATCTTCACAGTAGGATAACGCTGACGCTGACACGGGACAAGTGTAATCTAGAAATTTTTGAAGGAGAGAAAGGATTATGACAATCAAGGAGGCCATAAACGCGCCCTACAATTGTAGGGACGACTGACGATACGAGCCTAAGATATACTCATCATATTCAAATTGTATTTCTGGTAGTCTATATTGGATAACAAATAGCGCCTCTCAAGTCTACGTATCTGCGCGTGCTATGATTACTGTTACGTTAGTTAGGCATCGAAAAACAAGTATGGGGATATTCGTCACGACAGGAACATCAGTGTCCCCATTCTCCAAACTAAATAGCATATTACGAGCTTTTATTATGTTTTATCTAACTCAAATCCTATGACAATTTCCCAAAGACTCTTCCAAATAAGACACTGATATTAACAAAAATCCTTCATTGGCCAAGTGATTTTTATAAGTTACTTGCACAAAGCTATTCTGATGGAATTGTTTCTAAACAGTCTGCTATCTACAAAAATGGTGTCAAGTAGGTTGACTTTGCACTTTCCGCGCAACCCTGTCGTCCATTCATAATAAAATATTTGGCACCAAAATGTATAGCAAATTAAATAGATCTAGGCAGCCAAAAAGGTGGTCTAAACAATTAATCCCCAGTCCTTAACGATTTGCCAAGGAACGGCAACGATGTGATTAGAAATGCAATGAGTAAGCTGCCAATAGCAGAGGTTCCCACGCTATAGGTTTAACTCCTATTTTCGTTGCATGCGACGCAGGTATCCCCTTGCATCCCCTACCCCCAATTGTTTACCCCACAAAAAATGTCTAACAATGAGCAAAAATGTCTAATGCGTCAAAAAAAAAAGAGGTTTGGAAGAATTTTATTTTTTCGTTTTCTGTCCGTAGTTCTGGCGCCACTTTACCGATTTTAAAAAGTTAAAGTTTTCATCCTTGGCATAGTGGTAGCCTTGTGTCAAAATTTTAGCAACATTCAAGTAGTACATTTCAATTTATAATGGGGTCAAGGATTAGCGGACAGACAGACCGATTGAAACGCGTGACTTGGCTTTTCGAGATGTGCATGTAATGTTAACATTAAAAAAACATATCATCTCATTTTATGATTTGTTCGCGATCACAGTACTTCCCCGTCAATAGGGAATATGCATATGATTCAAATATAGCTTAATTATATTTTTACAGTCTATACTGCTATAGTCGCCTTCAACCTTATTTTATATTTGAGCGCTATAAATTTACGAGTATTAATAAAGAATGGAAAAAATACCCTTTGTTGATTTGAAATGGTAGGACTTCATTATTTCACCTATCAGTTTGAAGTTCCAGCTTTTCAATATGTAATTTGTAGTAATAAACATGTATACTCACAAAAAGAAAATTGTGTCAAGAACTCGACAGTAATCTATCCAAAAGTACAATAAAAATAAAAATCATGAATTATAAATAGCTGCGAGCGCAACAAAAATGCGGTGTTTAGATCAACATCATTGGCACTACAGTTTAATTAAAAATGAATGTAGTCGTTTCCATGAACGAAATATGTGTTTATGGTATTATATTAACGTAAAAAATCTACATACAAAAAATGCATGCATATTCATTATTGGCGTGGGAAGTAAAAATGTCAAACAAAAAATGCGTTGTAAAGCTTCATACAAATTCTGAATTACAAACCTAATATTGAAGTTGTAAGTACCTACAGTTTTCCCAATGCATGTCTACTGCCACTTATAGTTTCTATATAACTATATACATAACAGATAACTAACTACTAGCCACTAGAAAGATTTTTACTATAGGATAAATACCTTGCAATATAATGGAAGAGGTGAACTTAAAGTAGAAAGAACATTATTTAAGAAGAATTATAGCGTATTGTTACAGAATGTAAATATTCTATAATGAAACGTTTTAGGTAAAGGCATTAATTATGCAATATGCGAACTTGAAGCTTTCTTTTGTTTCTATTGTGTATTTAAATGTAAACATGTCCAGGTTTCCCTTGGTTATGGCTAAGAAATACAAGCAATGACAATAGCAAAACCTAATATAACATTGCAAATAATGCAAATATAATTCTGCTATATCTAGTGCCGATCAATGTACTAGTTTGGTGGAGGGTACAACCTAAAAATACTAGCCGTGATGATAAAATACCAGGCCTGTGGAGTATGACAAGGGGATAACGAAGCACCTAAGATTTAATATGCTAAATAAATATATTCATCATTAATGTTACCTAAATGACTGCGCGAAGCAACGAGTGAGATGGTAGGTCTACCGAGCATATTCCGCCAGTGCATGGACAAAAAGGCCAGGTGAGCTATCACCTTGTCAGCTAACAGCGCAATGTCGTAGCTCGTATAGTATTCTTCGGCATCAAAATTCTAAGACATGAAAGAACATCATCTCATGCACGCACTGCACACACTGGTACTGGGTTAGTAACCTAGTTATGGATATATAAATTGACATTTTGCAAACTTTTCTCTCAGATACATTTTTAAAATATACCGGCACCCTTATAACGTAACTGCAACTAAAGATTGCAATTCCTTATGTCAGGTTGCCAAAGATGATGCCCGAACTCTTTCCAGCTTCTGCCGTATAAACATTCCTATTGAGCCACAGACAAGCAGTTCAATGCTATCTGTAGCCCGTCACATTGTTCCAAAAATATACTACATATAGTATAATACGACCCTGCAGCCCCCAAGCCATGCTAGCAAAATGCATTATGCAGTAGTTTATGCAAATATAAGCAAACGGTCGTTGTGCCATTCTACCACGGCGTGTGGACCATAGGAACATCATAGTGCGAATTTTGCAATCGCAACTGTCAAATTTCAGTAATAAAAGCATGCGGGCGTCCATTTATATTTAGGTAAATAGTATTTATATTATATTAAACCAAGTTTACCTATTGGCAATCTACCGCAACTACGTTTAAATTCATTCCAAGGTATGTTCTTTTTTGGCATAATTCTGACTGAGATCTCAACTCACAAATATCTGTTGACAACAGCAACCTGCGTTACGTATTGCTGCCGGCAATGAGTCAAACCTCAGAAGCGTGCTTGTCAACTGGTTACGAGTTCGAACATATTCATCTGATCACTCAAAGGTAGACTTACAAGTATTCTGGAATGTAAATTTTAGATAATAGTTCACGGCTTTCCATCATGCAACCAATAATTTGACACCTCTATATCCAATCTCCAAAAGTTTGCAAAAGATCTCAAGTACGAATACACAAAATATAATAAAAAGATGTGAATACCTAATAATATGACAGTGTGGGTTATTAACCACACCATGATATTATTAGCCGTATCTTTATATTCTGTAAAACCCTATCAACCCAAATCAACATCTCTCTAAATGGTGATGAAGCAAAAACAGGATAGAAACATAACAATTTAAATACCTAGGTGAACTCTTCTGCAAACTATCGTTACTAAAGGTCTTCCTAGCATATTCTGCCAACTGGACTTCAAAAAATTGATTTCACTCTTGCAAATGTCTATCATTAGTTCATAGTCGGAGGCTACGTAATTTTGGGACATATCCGTGAACTAGATCAAAACAATAAGGTAAAACATAACATGCAAGTTCCTAGATTCTTGATGGAAGACGTGATAGAATGTAAAGCCAATATAAGCTTCATATTAAGTAAATACATAAGTGCGGCATTTTCACTGAAATGGCATTGCTATTTAATACTTGCAGATACAAGGTGGATGGGCAGGAAAATGAAAAACAAAATCAATGTATTAAACTGTTCTCACCAAAACAAACTCGACAGCAACCCAGTTTCGAGTCAAAGTTGTGGTTGCTTTTGTGTTCCCCTTTGTTTCTTGAAAGTAAAAATCGCATAAGTAACGTATAGATAATACTTTATATTTATCATAAACTCAAAATACCTAACCTAAATTTACGTGCGGAAAGTAACGCCTTGTACGCAAACATATTTCTTGAGTCTGATGACCACTCGCACTCTATTAACTTGCTTGTCACATTTATTGTATCAAGAGTAACTCTCGTGGCCTTGCTGTTCCAACTAATTAACTTCAACGAATGAAAAACGCGAAATATTTTTATACGATTGGCTAATGTTTCTCAATGACATCCACAGATAGCACCTTTTTTAAACTGAGCAATTGGTCGCGTTGACGTCGCTTTGGCTAGAACACTTGTATTAGAATACGCGTGTCGAGTTGGATTGCCGTCGAGTTGTGGTGGTCCACTGCTTTTGGTCAGAAAGATCTGTAAGATTCAACAAAAAAAATAAAGTGGAAGAAGATACCGTCAGCGCCCTTTATTGATCTCAAAATAACGAAAATATACCACCTCCTATAAACGTACATCATATTAAAAACCAACCAATTTTCAATCTAAGTCAAACTTATTAAAACAATGTCATGCGCATATGCAAACATTTAAAATTTATATATTTACCTGAGGAGTAAAGGCAAATATTTTGTCTCCCAGAGAATATAATTTGCTGGTGGATAAAATACCAACATCCCTCGATTTCCTACCTGACATGCCTAACTTTTTGTTTCTGCCTACAATGTGAGGCAATATGTGAAAGATATTTTGCAGATTATATATAAACACAATTTCATGTTCTACTAACCTAAGTATGTATATAGATGTGACAACACCTTGGCAGGTTGAACTTCAATAGGCGCTACCTCACATACTGTTTGAACATTAATATCATGCTCCGCAAGTTTATCTCGAATTTCGTTATCTTCGGCTAAAATAACTACTTGGACTACAACGTCAGGCTTCTTCTCAGCACACAACCGACGATTTAAGGGATCCAGCTCTCCTGGTGCTAGAAACCCCTACAAGTGGATTATTTTATGTAAGCAACTTTGTATTTAGTCCTGTATAGAAGGTGGGTGGATGATATAGTTTGTAAATGGAACATTGTATGATGTATATGCGTCTTACTTCTTGCAATAGTTTTCCAATGATATACAACGACTGTGCCCACAGAAAGGGACAATGGCCCTGCGGTACTCTTTGTTGGCTGCCAGGTTCCTTGTACTCTGCTCCTACTAATTCTGCTGGCACAGAATACAACTCTGGAACCAATTTCAGCCCATCATTTGTTTTAATCATAATCTGTAAAGAATAAGTAATACTTTTACTCGAACAAAAGGGAACAGTCACAAGTATGACAGAAAAGGTATCAGCATGTTTAAGGTTGATTTTTAAACTCTGATGTTCCGCACCACTGCAGAGCTTGAATCATGCGCTGACGTTAAACTGTTTCTGAACTCTCGTCCGCAACGCTGGCGCTAGACTTGACGAAGTTTTAACTCTCTACCACTGCCAATCCCGATTCAAGCAGTGGAAGAGAGTTTGCAAACCACGTTTCTGTTGCCACATATCAGCTGGTGCCTCCCCGTGCTTTTCGCTCTGTTTGGCATTAGCACATATTCTGTTTTGTTTTGAATTATCGGGAAATGTACATTACAAGTGATGAAAACACTGCATCGGGTTTTGTCGCTACTGTGCATATTTATAGGTCCAATATTAAATGGCCTCCTTTATTGCTCCTGCAGTTGTTTCCTCTTTAAAACGCCAATTATTCACCGAAGTAACACAGAGAATTTCAAGGGGCGAGGATCGTAAAAGCATCATCCTTTTTTTCAAAACCCAAATCACAAACGTATTCCCTATTTCGCGAGTATCCATCACGCTTTGACGTCCACTGAGGTGAACAGCTCATCAGCAAGTGACATTTTTGTGTTACTCTGAAATGTTGGCTATAAATCTAGTAAAACTTGTTTGTGGCTTTTTGTTTTTTGTATGCGAATGAACTTTTCTCAACAAAAGAGCTGTAAGCAAGTACAAAATGAATCTGTAGGGTACAAAAAAAGAAATATTGCTCTGATTACCTGGTGTTGACGGATCCATCAGAATTGTGTCCCGTGCCGATATGGGGAATTTTAAGATATTACTAGATAATTAGCTGTCATTCTACCGTGATGAATACTCGTGAAATAGGGTAAACAACGAGTACAAAAAGAAAATAAACACAAAAGTAAAGTTAGCTAGCACCTCTTGTCGTCTGTCAACCAGAATGATCTGCAAATATGTAAAAAAAAATGCAATTGTGGGTTAGGTTATGCGTCACGCGCCATAACGTTAGCAAGTTTATAAATTGACCTTTAAAGAAAAATCAATAGAGGCAGCTCGTGTACCTAACTGACTTAATTTTTGTTAGTAAGCTGTAAAAGTTGTCTGTATTATCTGTGATACCAACTTACCTGTTCTAACTGACTGGTGTAGTCATCTGCAATGTCAGAATTTCCTTGGAAGCAACTATCAACAATAAGATAGCAAAAAAATAATGGCCATTCACATTCTAAATGTTCAAACATTCTCAGTTCCCATGGCTCATAGTACAGTCTTGTTGGATCCTATCCAGAAAAATATTGTTTAAATAACTATACTGCTTAGCATTAACAATTAAATACCTCTTTAGGTGTCTTGTACCCATCTCTCAGAAACCTCTTGCAGCCATATTTGCCCTGAAGCTTATCTTTTATGCTATCTCTAGTATAAGCAATAAGCGCAGGATCATCTACTGCAAAAGCTGGAAAGCTTATAACTGATAGTAATCCAGAATCTATTTCCTTAGAGTTGGATTCTCTCGGAAGCATAGACTAAAAAAAGTTGATGTCAAGTACTGAGCATCCCTGGTTTGATTGCTTCAATAATAAGGTTGAAATAATCAATGGCAGTAGAGAATACAAATATCAAACGCATAGGTCATATTGGGGACAACAGATATCTGGTGGTAACCTTGGTGTTGTCACTGACCAGAAACTTCAACAGTATTCCAAGGGAAAGTTATTCTTTTTCAATGAAATCACATGTATTTATTTCTAAAATCAAACATAGAGCTTGAATGGAGGTTATTCCAAAGTCAAAATGATAACCATCAGAGTCAATCAGAAATGGCAGTTGATGAGATGCAAGAAACTTTAACTTACACAATATTCTTATCAATGCTTAATTGTTGTTTTTGTCAATATTTGACGTTAAAATAATATTCATAATGTTTAAAGAGAATAGAATTAAGAGTAGTAGTAGTAGTAGAAGTAGTAGTACTTGCCAGGCATTTATATTGTAGCAGACTAAGTCTAGAATCATATATTTTCATTAGGTTTATATTAAATTATTTATACAAGATCATCTTAGGATTACAAATGAAAATCCCTCATTTAAGATTCTGCAAATCCTAAATAAGTCTTAATCCTATTCAAAATAAACATATTGTTTCAGTCCTTAACAACATGACAAGTGATATTTACTGTAGGGTGAGGTTGCCTACAGAATTTCTAAAATTGGATTAAAGTATATATATACATATATGTGAGCGGTAGTCACTGCCAAAGCCAACGACTAGTTGGGTACAAAATACAATTAATGTTATTGCATATTATTTTTTAATCTGCCTAATACTAATATTACCTGTAGTACAGCCTGACACTTTTGTGCCTCATCAGCAAGAACATGAATAACACTGTATGGCCCTCCCCTAGCTCCAAATAAATCCAACTCATTCATAGCTTCCAGTGCTGCTTTAGCCATTCCTATTGAGCTAGCATTGAGCTCTGGGAGACCATGGTTAGTTTTGTCACCTCTCTCCCAGATGCCATAGTCTGGAGTACAATATGCACATTCTATATAAAATACCAGATTTTGAATGAAAGCTACTTCATCGAGATTAAATATTATCTGCAACCCTGAAGCTGTCATTTGTGCTAGTATAAGAAGGTATAATGAGATGGCATCTATCTGGAGATGGCCCCACTCATTGTCACCAACAACTATCTGCCCAGTGACTGAGGAATATTTGGCATGTAATGAATCTAAAGGATTCTGGGTTTGTTTAAAACGTTCCACTTTCTCCTTCTGTTGCATCATGCACATCAGTAGACCCCTCATTAGTTTAACACAAGACTGTTCAAGCTCATATGTCTTTGCTCTGTCTTCATCCTGATCAGCCATTTTCTTGTATGCCATAGAGAGGCCCCAAACAGAGAGCACGCAGTAAACATTGTCTCTAATCCAGGCGTGGTTATTCTCGAGGCTCACTGGGAATAGGCCTGTTACAGGGTTCTGATGTTCCATTATAACTTTGTGCAGGAGCCGTTGGTAGTAATCCAATCTGACTCCTGAATTGCTTCTGCTTCTCATCTTGCTAGGCTTCTGTCGTATCTCATTTATGGACAATATTTGTAAATAAACGTAACGTAACACAAAGAAGTAGAAAGGTTATTTGAAAGTTACGAGATGATGGTTATATGATAATGCGATGTTCGATACATCGATGCGATTTAATAGTGTAGCTGGACTGTCGATTTTCTGCTTTCCGTGGGTCACCGCAAGCATGCCTTGATGCATTATGTGATTGTTTCATCACAGGTTCCATCGTGAAGGAAATGGAAAAAACCTGTTGTGTTGTAAATGATCGAGTCTTGCCACTTGCCACGCCACTCTTGCTCTTGCCCATCTCAAGAAACATATGATTTTTGACAGTTGTGTTGACATTTGATGTCAATGTGACAACTGACAAAGCAAAATCAAAACAAACAAGGAGAGGGAAACTTGAGGCGCAAAATACCTTTAGTTTTCGATCAAACGATGTGAGAAAAGTTTCATGAGACGATGAGTGCCTATCAAGAAAAAGAAGACTTGCTTTTACAGATAAGAGCCAAACTTCGAAAAGATGACATTAAATTGTGGTTACCTCCATATTATACATTAGAAAATAAGCCTTCTGAGGAACATATTTCAGTAAGATTTTTCAAAATATATTAACAAAGGTTTTTCGTAATGATATATATTTTGGCAGCCAGATATAGTCGTTTAAGAACTTCCAAACAAGGAAGCAACGTTTATATTCTCTTTTTTAGAATCTAGCTACAGAATATTCTACAACACTAAACATTCCCTGTGAATTATGCTATAATGCAATGAAAGAATTGCAAAGTCATGCATTAGACAACCTCAAGCACAAAAGACATTATGAAGAATCTGGACTAGCAACTTTGAGAATCAAGATTCTGCATCAAAACTCTCCCCCAAGGATAATTTCAAAAGAGATTCGATTGTCAGCTACTGCTAGTGATCTGAAAAATGCTCTAAGACAGGACATAAATACATCAGTTGATAGGTAAGTGACAGGGCTATATATATGTGGGACTCAAATATTTTTATGTTTTAGGGTAAAACTAATATGTACAGGTAAAGTTTTAAAAAATCAGGAGTCTTTGTCTGACCAAAATGTACAAAATGGACAACTCATTTTGGCAATATTACTTAATGATGGTGAAACAGAGATTACTGATAATGAAAAGAAGGTACAGGATTTGGAAAATACAAAATCTGATTCAAGGCTTCTTGCCCTTGATAATGAGTATATGCAGGTATATCAAAGTGTCAAGGCTAAGGGACAAACAACGTTGTGTTAACATACAGGGTGGTCTTAAAGTTGGATCAACAGAGTGTATAGGTCAGGCAAAAAATAAAAAGTTTTCTTAGTTTTTTTTTTGACAGGGGAAAGCTTTTATGGCCACTCTCAGGCAGAAAACCTCATCAGTATTGCTCTGCTCATGACCCTTCCTGCCCAAAGTGTCTGATTCTCTGAAAATGACTCACTAAAAAACCCCTGGGTCATTTACCACACATCCCACCACAGTAATACTTGGAGCATTTCTTCATAGTGAGTAGGATTGTGAGTTTTCATACTGAAGGTATTGTCATCTATCATCTCTGTCATACACATATATACTTTTATACCTATGTACATGTACAACCAAGCAATAGAAACCTACCATTGGTTCCTTGGTCTGTCTTTGTTATCCCGTATCATACTCAGCATCATTTGCCTCACTATTAGTTGAATATTGATCCATTTTCCCTAGTGTATGTGTGAGGAAAAATTATCAGCCTCTCGTCGAGCATCTGTTAAAGCTGTGTTTGGTAGTCAACTCAGATTGAAGTATGTGATCAGGAGTATCCTCCTCTTCATTGCAATATACGCGATTTTCATACTCTCTCTTTCCTACCTTCTTCAGGTAGCTGTAAAAACAACCATGTTCTGTGGAAAACTGTGCAGTATAGTAATCTATGTACACCGCTCCATTGTTAATCGAAGTTTTAGTATCTGGGATCAGCCTTTTGGTTCATGCATCATGGCCAGTTACATATCATCTATCCTAGGATCTGACAAAAAGCACCTCACTTTCATCACTTATAGGTTCAATGCTCTTTTCATACAGGGCTCATCTCTCCTCAGCTAGCAAATCAATTGGTAGGATACCAGCAGTGCATCGGTCGACATCATTTTGTAAGCGCATACCACGCGCAGCACTACTTTTCGTTGGCTTCTCTACATAAGCTGTCAGTGTTTCTCATTTTCAGATCTGCCAAGCCAGACACTCGGATACCTAATTACATTTTAGCACCGAATCTCGGAATTATCAACCTTAACAGATATAGATGTTAACTTCTGTCTGCCAGAAAGTATAACTACTACTTCTCAGGATCTAATTTAAAGCCATTATCTTTCATCCATATGGTACTTTTCGTGATTTCGTATGTCAAGAGTTCTTCAAGTGTAACTCAATGCTTGCTAGTCACTATCAGCGCAAGGTGGTCAGCATACCCTATCAAGGATAGTTTTCCTAGTAGGTTATGTATGTGGTCCCCTACTTGGAGTGCTGACCCCCTCCCCTAATACTTTAGGGGAGGGGGTCAAACTTACTAGTTTTTCTATTAACACATACACCAAAGCCTTAAAATAACTAAGATGTTCAGCTCCAAAAAACTCTGAGTGGGAAAAGCCTACCCTGCAGCCTACATCACAAGGTGATGGTTTGTGTTATGATTGCGTTAGTGTCCAAATCAGGCGCCGCGCGGAGGGTAGGTTAACCTAGCTCATTTACAGTTGGATTTCAAAAACCCTCGAACGTAGTTATTTCCAAAAAAGAAAGTCACAACTTTCAGGCCACCCTGTATCTTGAAACATGTATGTTATACACAAGAAATATATCAGCTGTACTGTTTCAGTTAGAAGATCAGTTTGGGAATGCAGTAAAAATTCCGTCTCATGAGAAAAAAGCTCTAGTTGTTGCTATGACTTTACATGAGAAAGGGAGATCTGTATTAAAAAAGAAGGATTATACTAGGGCATTGATATACTTCTTAGAAGCTGATGAAGAATATGGGTAAGATAATTTTATCTATGCCTCATAAGAATTCATTGAATGTAGGTTCGCCAGTCAGTAAAATTTTATTGTTCTTTAAAGCAGATGTGGAATATTATAGGTAAGATAACTTTATCTATAGGAATTTATTTAATGACATTACAGTCAGCGAAATTGCATTGTTATTGTTTATTTGTTGATAACACAAAGCTGTTAATTTTTATGCACTATTCTCGTTAGGCACTTAAATGTAACATTATACAAGTATTTATTGTTTATGCAAATGGTTATTGTTTAACAGTCTGAACAGAAGTGAGCTTATGATCCTATTTTAGCGTCTACATTTCCAATTCCAGGCTGTGTAACTCCCAACTTCTGAACACAGTAGATAACTATGCTTTATTAAATTTGGATATAGCATGGTGCTATTTATGTTTAGAAAGCGTTGCTCATCTCCCAGAAGCTGAACGGAGATTAAAGCAATGTGAGAGGAAGTTTATTGACACATATGGAGCAAACATGGAAAGGGTTGTTGCTGTGAAAGGAACTCCAGGTGAATCTCCCTCTGTACTATAAATTCAACATTTCACAATTCCATAATGTTCCCATACAAATGAAGTTCATTGATTAACACAGGGCTGTCCAACTTAATGTGGCCCAAGGGCCACTTAAAAAAAAATGCAGTTTGGAGGGCCGCATTATAATATCTTTCTATACAACATTATTACAGAGTTAATGTAAGAATTGTGCATATTCGGTATTTGAGAGTAATTTATACATGTGATGTATACATGACCCGTGAAGCGGGCCGCATGAAAGGAGTTCGCGAGCCGTATGTTGGACAGCCCTGGATTAACATATTCCCTAAAAAGATGCCTAACACTATACTGTACTAGGTCGTCTGGATCAAAGATGCGCGAAAAGTTGAATAAAAGTAAATACGATCTGTTCATTGTTTTATACGTTTATTTATTGCATGAACTACAAGTATTCGCTATCTATTTCTATATTATGCTGCCACCATTCTGGCAGTTTCCGGTTTGTCAGATACTTGCTGTTTTCTTTTATCATGTTGATTTCATTATTGCTTTTCAGTAGTGAAGGTCAGAACCCATGCATTATGGCGACACTTAGTATTATCATCCAGAAACCATACTCAATATTTCCTATTCTTGCACCAATCTAACCAAAAATTGTTCAAGAATTGAAGATATCTGGTCTTGTCCGCTTTAAAATTTCAACGCTAGTACCAATAGATACTTTGGCCCATATACTTACCTCTGCTTGAGTTACAGTAGTCAGCCTTTCTTCAGGTCCAACCCATTATTTCCCTTGATCCTTTTCAGGTGAAAGACTTATCCATGTTTCAATAGCAAACAATATATTATTAGGACAATATACTATACGTGTTTCATTTTGACACGAGTCAAGTTCATGAGGTACCCATTTGGCGTTATTTTTTCATATTTAGTTTTTTTATATTAGTGTCGCAGAGTGGACTTCAGAATTCCCAAATTAGCCGAGAGAGAGGTGAGAGACCATGAACTGAATGAATTGCATCAATCCAATCCACCAAAATTTCCTGTGAAGTTCAATCACCGATGCTCCTCAACATTGCCATTGCCTTTGTTGCAGCATCTGACTAACTGACAATGACCTTCGGTAGAACTGAGCCATGTTGCCAACTAGGACAGTAATTGCCTTAGGAGTATTAAAAGCAAACTCCATTTTTCTGCTGATAACAATTGTTTATTCTTCAACATGTCATTAATCTTCCAATAAAAGATCATGCCTCAACCCCCCTTGTAATTGTTCCTAAGATTTCATACTCTGAGATCCCATAACCTGCAGCAACAATCCGAGAGGTGACAACACTGACACCTAAAGATATTTTTTGACATGTACAGTAATGGACAAAAGTATATAGACACATTAATATTGTGCTGTATTTCTTTTCTAACTTGTTTTATTAATACACCAACCTGTATACATAATTCGTTATAGCATAATACTCACTTATACATAAATAAATTCATAAGACCCCCTTCAATAAAAAATTAATTGAAAAAAACTGGAACTATGAAGGACAAAAATATATAGACAAAGCAAAACAATTATAGAAAAAGAAGCAAAGTTCATAGAATTATAGAAAACCAACCATGTTTGTGTTAATATCTTGTAGCATAACCATTATTATCAATCACCGCCTGGCATCGTCTCGGCATAGATTGTAAAGCGGCAAAAAGTTCATCCTTGCTTGAATAATTTTTATCTCGTATTTGCTTATCTAAGTATTCCCATAGATTTTCAATGGGGTTTATATCGGGAGACTGTGAAGGCCATTTGAGAACTGGTATTTTTTCATCCAGAAATAATTTTGCGAGATTTGAAGTGTGCTTTGGGTCATTATCTTGCTGGAAGATTGATCTTAAAGGCATATTGTCTTCCATATAGGGTAAAACATCATGCTTTCGTATGTCTGTGTATACAAACTTATCCATAATACCATCTATTCTATGTAAAGGTCCCATCCCAAACCCCGAAAAGCACCCCCAAACCATAACATACCCGCCTCCATGTTTGACAGTGGGCAAAGTGTACTTGGGGTTCAATCTTTGTCCACTAGGACATCTAACATAATGAACACCATCTGATCCAAAAATATTGAAGTTGGATTCGTCACTGAAACATACCTCTTCCAGTCATAGATGCTCCAATCAAGATGCAACCGTGCAAATTGTAATCGGTCCTTACGGTTTTTCCTCGAGATTAGCGGCTTCTTACTCGGGCGACGTTGCAAATAACTTCAAATCATTTAATCTTCTACGTATAGTTTTCGTACAAACACTAACAATTCCTTTTGTCTCGATTTCGGCTTTTATTAGTCTTGGGATTTTAAACGGATCTTTGGATGAATTTACTTTTATTCATCTAACTGACCTAGCATTTAGTTTTCTAGGCCGACCACTTCTCTCTTAGAGGCTTCCAAGATACCTTTTTGTTGATATGTGTTCAATATTGCCCAAACTGCTTTACGCTCCAGCTTCAAATTTTTGGCAGTGTCGACTTGACGTTGACCATCTTTGTAACTCAATGATCTTAGTTTTCACATCGAAAGAAATCTCTGGACCACGCGGCATGGTCTTTACATCACTCAACTTATTCCACAATACTTGATGAACACAAACTAATCCTCTTCTGACACGGAACTGTACTAAACTAATGTTGAAAAGAATTTGTCCACATATTTTTGTCCCTCATAAAAAAAGTGCTTATATTCAGACTTGTATTGTGTTCATTGCAGATAATGTAAAAACAAGGAATTTAGTTTTTCTACTAATAACGCATTTGTTTATGGAGCAATGAAGTATGAATTCGTTTTCTAGAGGTATTTAGGTAAATATTCATATTTCTCTATATACTTTTGTCCATTACTGTATGTACAAGTGGTTGGTATGTTTGGGTTCGGGCGAGTAATGTGCAATATTATAATCAATGATTCCACATAATAATTGTACATATTATAGCCATCTGTGTGTTAGAGCAAATTCATATTATATAGAGTGTGTCATAATAGAGTATTGTAATATTTGCGAGATATTTTTTTTCCTAGGAAATGAAGCTGCCCTGCTTACGAGACTGCACTTACTACAAGCCATAGTTTTGTATCATCAAAATAAAAGGTCTGAAGCTGTGAGTCTCTTGAGAAAAGTTGAAAGTGAAATAAATACCTTGAAAGTGGATGAACAAAGCGTTTTGTTATTGGTTGAATTAGGTAATAATTAGGGATGTGAAAAATCGATGTGTCTATTAGTCCACAAACATCATGCTTTTCTATATAGTAATAATTAAAGAGGTTATTAACATTATCAACAGAATAAAAATCATCAATACAATATGATGAGTATAAAGATAATCAAAATGGCATTCCTTTTAACATTTGATTATAACGGTATGTGTATGAAAATAAAACCAGAAACCTTATGGATTCGAACTTAAAAAGTTTTAAGTTTAAACCATAAAAACAAAATGAACATAATTATTGCCAAACATGCTCAGTTAGGGAGTTTAAAAATAATAATTTGGTAATCTTTTTCACAAAATATAATTTCGTGCTTTCCTGACTGGCTGTGTTGCACATGTAGCGCGGTTTACAAAAATCTATCAAAATGAGTAATATATTGAAAATCGATTATTAGGATTACGGAAATCGATCAATCCATTATTTGTTAACATCCTTGGTAATACATGCTTTAAGGACTCATCATGGTGTGTAGTTTATACGTAGTCGTGCCATAAGTTCTGTCCCATGATAATCTCATGATAAAAATGAAACAAGATAAGATATATTTATATGAAAGATATTATTTATTCGACAACATTTTTAGAATTCATAATCAAACAGTTTTATTCAAAATGTCCCCCCTTGGCCTTCACACACTGCTTCAATCTCGCGGGCCACTCATCTATCACTGCACGCACAGCTTCCAAAGGAATAGCTGCCGCTGATCGGATCAAATCCGCTTTCAGGGACTCGATATTACGGTGGGCTTTGGAGCAGGCCAACTGCTCTAGCAGGTCCCACAACTTGTAGTCTAAAGGATTGAGGTCCGGACTCCCTGAGGGCCAATCTTCCGCAGCAATGAACTCTGGCACATTGCTTTCCAGCCAGCGCTGCGTACTCTTAGCCTTGTGAGCGGGGGCGGAATCCTGCTGGTAGACCCAGTGTTGGTTGGCAAACAATGTACCACTTAAAGGCTTGACGATAGGATCCAGTATGTCGCTCTGATAGTTTGCCGCTTTTGTTTTCACGCCCTGTTTACAGAAATGGAGCTGAGTGACCCCTTCGTAGGACACCCCCCACCAAACCATGACTGACGCAGGGTGGTGGCCTCTCTCAACTCTCGGAATGATCTCCGAAGCTTCCTGTGAACTCCTTGCATACACTTTGTCATTTTGTCGGTTGAATTTTTCTTCTATGGTGAAGATTTTCTCATCCGTGAACAAAATCTTTCGGAATCCCCCAGCTGCGTACCTCTCCAAGAGCTTCTTGGATCTTGTCGCCCTGATGTGTCGCAAGGTGGCCGTAAGTCGCTGGCCCGTACGTCTCCGGTAAGCCCCTAGCCCTAGGTCTTGTTTAATGATGCGCGACATCGTCCGGACAGGAATCTTCATTTCCCTGGATAGGATCTTCTGCTTCCGGAGTGGATTCCTTTGAATCCTGGCTTTTACGGCTTTGATGGCTGCTGGAGTCCTTACTTGACGAGGTCTTCCGCTTCTTGGCCTGTCATCAACAGAGGACGTCTCATTGTACCGCTGAATGGTCCTAGACACAAATTTACGCGATATTTGAAGGCCGCGTAAGAGTTCAAAAATCTGACTAGCACTGTGATTACACTTATGTAAAGCTTTCACTGCAATACGGTTCTCTGCCTTGCCCCACTCCATCGTTATGCTTCGAGAGATCAATACAAACTGAGGTATATGTAATTACCCGAAAAGCGCTTAATCAACTGACACCACAATGTAAACAATCGGACAAGTATTAACAGGTCTACACTTGTTTGAAAACGAGGGACAGAACTTATGGCATGACTATGTATTATCACTTTTTCAAGGCTATACTCCAACAGAAGCTACCCTAGGGCTAAGGGCAACTAATGGAGATGTCAATCACGCAGCAAACTATATAAAGGAAAATATGGAGAAAAGAGCTGAGAGCAGAAAAAAGGCAAGAGCAGAGGCAGAGCTAGATAGGTGAGAACACAGTTTTCCGAATATAACTTTTTCAGGGTTTCCTAGTAAAATAAATTCGCGCACTCTACTTCCCTTATTATTATACTCAGCGATAAAAAAAGTTATCCCCTAGTATTTTTATTAGAATTTAAGAATTTTTTACATATCGCTGTATCTTGCCATGAACAACAAGTGGTAAAATGGTCAGGTTTTTCTGTTAAGTTTTTGTGGTGGCTGCGTGTATTGTTTGGTTGGTATGGGCAAGGCGACCTGGTGAAAGACGTGACCCACGATTTGACAGATAGCGTCACGTTCACCACACCGTGGGAGTTTTGGCATGGGGTGCTATTGCTTATGGTAGCAGACCACCACTAATTTTCATCAGAGGCAATATGACAGCCCGACGCTATATTCCGGAAGTAGTGGAGCCTCATCTTATTCCATACCTAAACACCATCCAAAACCCGATTTTTCAGCAAGACAATGCCAGACCGCATATTGCCAGAGCATCGTTAGCCTTCATGGATCAACCGTTTACCTTGGCCACCACGATCGCCTGACCTATCTCCAATTGAACGTGTCTGGGACATGATTGGTCGCAGGCTCTTGAATTTGTAACACCCTCCGCAGACTTTAGCAGCTCTTACTCACGAAGTTGCAGTAGCCTAGAATGAGATACCCCAACAGGATATCGACCACCTTGACGGCACGATGCCCAGGCTGTGTCAATGAGTGTATAATAACTCATGGATCCTCAGCACATTATGAAACCAGCTTCTGTAGTACGTTGTCGAATTAAGCTGAAAATTTGACTAGTAAGGGTCACTGAACATATATGCCAAAAATTATTGAAATCGGATAAACATTCGTAGGTGTTGACCTTTTTTTGTTACGCAGTATATATAAACTTTGTTTTGAAGTTGGGTTGCAACCCAAAACAGCTCGATGATTGGACTTTCCTTGGTGAAAACTCAAAGGCAAAGTAGGCTTTGCGATCTACGGAATAGTATAACCTTTATATCTTGGCAGAATACCGTTTACTTTTGTCATTTTCGCGTGAACGTTAGAACGTATCATCGCTTACAACAGTCTTTCAACATTTTAGTTACTGTATTACTCTTGCAAGATTGAGTACGAAAGTGTTGCGGGACTTCATTTAAAAAAAGTGGGCTGGTAACTCGTTATTTCAGAACGGCCTTACATCCAAGTTAACCAAAGTAATTTGCTATGCATGTTCTAAGAATGTCCTCTAATAGCAGTATTAAATCTAAAAATGTGCGTAAATTAGATACAGCACATCAGTAGAATGTGCTAAGAATATATTACAAACCTCACAGCTGATGAGCAAGTGACATTTTTGTGTTAGTCTGCAACGTTGGCAATAATGGATCGCGTGTAAATCTAGTAAAACTTGTTTGTAGCGTTTTGTTTTTTGTATGTGCAAATGAAATTTTCTAAATAAAAGAGCTTTTAGCAAACTGAATCTGTAGTGTACAAAAAATCAAAACAAAGTATAGCTCTCTCTACCTGGCATTGACGGATCCGTCAGAATTATGTGTCCTTTGCGGATATGGGGAATTTTGAAATATTGCCATATAGATAATTAGCTGTCATTTTACCGTAATGGATACTAGTGAAAAAGACCGTACTCAGTTGACACAATAATGTTCATTTGTCGGATGAGTTGAGGTGAATAATTATCATGAAGCTTACCTTTTTTCCACAAAAATGTAGACACAGACGAAGCCCAGACCTGGAATCAAATAAAATGGAAGCCGGAAAGCTTGCCGGCTTGCCATTATGCCATTAGTTGAAGGCACATGCGCGATAGGTCGAAAAATTCACCTAATATGGATCTTGGTGGAATGTGCTAAACACGTGCCAGGAATATTTTTGTTGCCTGGTAGAATATTCTGAGCATGTAAGCAAATGGTTATTCCTTATATGAATATTCTATTAACATTTCCGTTCTGAATGTTCTTAAATCGCATATTCTTAGAGCGTTTGTCAGGATAACATGCACAGTATGAGTTGAGAAGATGCTGCTATTTTAGGCTCAAAAACGCACATTCCAAGAATATAAATATTCCTTTTCATGTGTACTGGAACTCAGTGAATCGAATGTCTCCAAAAGCGTTTGACGGCTAATACTCAGATGTTGCTGTTAGAGTATTCGAGTGGATTGTATAGCGGATGGTTCAAGAATGAAATGTGGTTGTCGCCTACCCTTGATCCGGTATTCTGTCTAATTCTGGTTCGTATTCCTGGCGTAGCGGTGATGCAGGAGCGTGAAGATTGCGGGTGTGGGAGCGGTTCTGACTCTATGCGGTTTCTGACTATATGCGGTTGCTGTGTAGACACACGTGGTCTCACTGTACGCAGTTGCGGCGTATATATGTCACACGGTATGCGGTTGCGGCGTATCTGCGTGGTCTGACTGTGAGCTAGTATCTCTCTTCCTTTTATTGTCCTAGCAGCGCACGCGCGCGAGGTAGGCAAGCGACAACTCATACTCGCCATAAAATAAAGCCAACCCAAATAACCCTAACCATTGCTCATACTTCAGACAGATAGCGAACTCCATCTTAATTGAAAGCTTGCAACAAATATTTCTCTGACTTACGTTTCAACGACTTATCCTGTTGAAATTATAAACTGCATCACCACGAATCAGCATTGTTCAACGGTAATAAAAATAATATCTTCTGTTCTTCATCAGAGAGAGGAAAAGACTAGGACTATGCCGCGATGGCAAGCAATACATAGATCCACGGCTCGTGAAAGTCCTCGTAGACATGGGCTATGACAGTGAGGAGGCTCGACAAGCATTAAAGTACTGCAACAATGTTATATCGGATGCTGTGCAGCACATTCAGGAAGTCGGCGCAGCAGGTCAAAGCAGCAGCGTGCAGCATCACGAACTAAGCGATATCATCGAAGCATTGGTTCCTGAATTAGAGCAGGCAGGGTTTGATCCGAGGATGGCTAGATTGGCGCTGAGCAAGTTTAAAGGTAATCTGTTGAAAAAAATCATAGAGATCTGACCTTGATTTTATATGGCATGTACATCACAAAAAACCATGACGCTCTTTTCAGTCGGTCTATCTATCTGACTGTCCGCTAATCCTTGGCCCGTCTATAACTTGAAAAGTACCGCTCGCATTTGGATGAAATTTTGATACGAGGTTACCACTATGGTAAGGACAAAAAAGCTTTGTAGTTTTTGAAAATCGGTTGTGAGGCTGCGGAGAAAAAGTCCAAAAACGAAAATTGATAAATATCGCTTAAACTTCGTTTTTTCTCGTTTCAAACCAAAAGTGTAATATGTTTGGATCATTTGTGATGTCTTTCTTATGAACATTGTCACACACGTCCATCAGTCCTATAGGCGAATTTGTCACTGCATAGCCTCAGCAATTGTTGCAACGATTTTGATGGAACGGGGAAATATAAACCAACATTATCTACTACCTCTCCTCATATGCCTGGCATATACCGTGCAAAACTATAAAAGTCGCATAATTTCTTAAACAAGGTTTTATCAAACACATATTTTAACGGGTATAATAGTAAAAAAGAAAGTTGCACATTCTAGCGTGTAGGTATTTCTGATGAACTATGGTTTGAACAAAGAGTAGTTAGATAAAGACGAGATAGTCCGGGTGAATAAAATCAGAGATACAAGAGATGACTCCAAAGATATGGTGTCCACAAAATAGCTGATGGCGTCTAAAGTCTAAACGCGGTTGTTCTCATTTAGCCGGAAATAGATGCGGTGTTGCCAGATAGATAATCCTTTTTGAATACATTGACCCTCACTTGTAGTGAACGCATTTTTAATTCAAATTAACTTTTGTGTGGACATTCATTTATGTTTGGGGTATTTATCCATTTAACTTTTAGGGTCCTACGACTTGTTTAGTAACAAAAGAAGTACGTCAGCTTGAAATTGAAAAGTTTTGTAATCTCGAATTGGTTCTTTGACCAATCGTCGGTCTATTTCACAAGGTCGCAAGAGAGACAACCTTGCAGACGATATGTTTATTTCGAATAAATTTTTGACGTAGCCACCAAAAACCATGGAAAGAGCTGAACTCAATTCTGCTTGGTATAATGTATTAATTTATAAATATTTTATGGCAGCTTGGCGACAATGCTTCGTTGCATCTATGAGCGAATCGCCAAGCCAAGGATTGTCCGCAAATATATAGTCTTTTACAGTATCCATTACGGTAGAATGACAGCTGAATATCTAGTAATATTTCAAAATTCCCCATATCTGTAAAAGAAACATAATTCTGTCGGATCCGTCAATGCCAGGTAGACAGAGTCATATTTTTTTATTTTTTGTTCACTATAGATTCATTTTGTACTTGCTAAAAGCTCTTTTACTTAGAAAAGTTCATTTGCATACAAAAAACATAACGTTATAAATAAGTTTTACTAGATTTACACTCGATTCATTACGTTGCAAACTAACGCAATAATGTCACTTGTTGATCAGCTTTTCACCTCAGTAGACGTCAAAGCGTGATGGATACTCGTGAAATAGGGTATAGATCGCTGTTTTTATTTGTGAACCAGTAATAGTCCAAGAACTCACTGCAAACTTTTGTCCACGTCGCGTACTGAAACGGTAACAAAATACTAGTCAAATCTTACATATTTTGATGCAAAGCTCGGCAAGTTTTGCTGTTTAGCTTCTAAATACTTACGATTTGAATAGTTTTCTTGATATAAGTACTCTTTGGTTTGTACATATTTAAGTCTGAGAAGGTCCGATACTGCGTCAACCGACTATCGTTTTCTTATTCAGGCGATATGACAAAAGCATTTGAAGAACTCCTGGCCAATGGTGGAATTGTAAGTGGCGACCTATCTGGTATAATCACTCGTTTGAGTGTAGATAGGATAAAGGAACGTCAACAAGAGGAAAATCGTAAAAATGAGGCTTTCAAGAGACTAAAGGAAGATATCACCACTGCTGAAGATGACTACTTAGACATCGACCTTGTTGAAGAAGAAGCATTTCTCAAACGGTATCTCACATTACTAGACAAACAAAGTTAGTATAGTCGATGCGTGATTCCGGTATTGTACTGTGTTTAAAATAATATATATTAACAAGATTTGAGGTTGTGTTTTACTAAATATTTTTGACATTCAGCGTTCTGTTATATTTGGTGTCAATATGATTTGTGAAAGAAAGAGAGTATGCACTACAGTAAAAACAAGAGTCATGTAGAGTCCGCACGGCACTATATAAGGCGGCAAACAACCTGTGTAATATTCTTTCAATGTAAATTGATTTCTTGCTGTGATGCATCTCGCCTTATTTATATTATCTCAAACCCCACTGTAGAGAATAAATAAACTGATATCGAGCCCAGAAACAAATACAACGAAACAGTTCACAATGCCCACCAGCATGGTGTAAGAATTATACACATTATGCGGAAAATGACCTTCAGGTTTAAGATCGTGAGATGGGTGCTCTTGTTGCTCGACATAAACAAAGCTTCTGTTTCGTACTTGATTTCTGCCGTTGTACTGAAGAGACGTGCAGCAGAGCTCCAGTTTTTTCTCGTCTCTTCCACATACCTTACAAATCCTGTACTTACCAGAAAACTGGAAATTTATTCATGTCCAGTCCATCAAAAAAATACGGATCTAAAACCGACTCTCGCAAATACAGAGCTATAGCTCTGCTTTCTGTTAGGAGTAAGGTAAAGGAGAGGTTCGTAAACCGGGAGAACGGAAGCTCCTGGAGTACATTGAACGTCACGGCTCGATTACTGACAGGCAGTATGGTTTCCGGCACCAGTGGTCCACGGGGGACCTAGCTTATTTACGCAACTGTGGAGTAAACTCATCCAGTCATATGATGAGGCTCATGTCGTTGCTCTTGATATCACGAAAGCGTTCGATCAACTGTGGCATAATGCCCTTTTATGCCCTTTCATCCAAAAGCTCCCAGAGAAGGTTTGCAGATGTGTGGCTGACTTCCTCTCTGGCCGCAAGATATCCGTATAATTGACGGGTTCTCCTTTTCATCCCACAATTTCAACGCGGGTATTCTCCAGGAATCGGTCTTGGCTCCGACATTGTTCCTCTTACATATCAACGATCTCCTTTCCTGTATCAATCAGATCCACAACTTTGCTGGTGATAGCACTCCACATGCAGGAATATCAGCGGCTTACTCTCTAACGAAATACCTCAATCATTGCTTTGGTACGCAGTTTAATACTTCCAAAACACAGTACTGAACTTTGACTAACAAACAGCGTCCTAGCGCTTATCCGGTTTCGATGGATGGCGAAGTTCTGCCAGAGAGCCGTTTATTTCGGCGACTTGATCTGGCACCAACACATCTCGTCGATAGCAGCAGCTGCTGGGAAAAAGTTAGGCTATTTGTTTAGTACTAAAAAGTACTTTTCCCCACTTAGTCTCATCACTCTGTACAAGGCCCAGATCAAAACTAGCCTCGAATACTGCTATGTTTGGGGTGCTGTCGCCCCGACTACATTATCAATGCTCAATGATGTTCAGAGGAGGGCTGTAGACTGGTCGATGACTCTTCTCTAGCGGAGAGTCTCGGGTCTCTTTCGCACCGTTGGACCATTGGCAATCTAGCTCTCTTCTACCTCTACGCCAATGGGCCTTGCTCCTCAGTGCTCTCCTCCATGATGCCGCCACCATGCGATGTAACCTGAAAGAGAACAAGGTTGGAAATAGAAGTACAACTAGAAGCCACCAACAAGAGCCAACAGGCACATTTGTGGCTTCGGTCAAAAGTTCTCGTATTTACGACGAACCAGCTAACATCGCCTTGGAGGCCAGCTCTCAGAGTTCACCAGTCAGAGCCGACTAACTTCGGCCTCCCATCCTAACCGTGTAGAACTTCGTACATACAGAATTGGCCGATACGACCGCTCGTTTGTCCTGGAGTATCGGGATTGTGGAACAATCTGCCTGAAGAAACTTTTCCCATTTCGACTAACCTTGGGCAGTTCAAAATTCGGATTCACAAAGTTTTTAGGTACGCGTCCGCTCCGGTATAAAAAAATGCTCGTTTTCGCAGAAAGCAATAAATGATACCATGTATTTCCATTTACCTTACTGAAGAATTTTGCATATAATAAGACTCCGTTATTGTTTTATTAAACGAAAAATAATATGTGTTATTGTTCATAATTTTACATTATATGATTGAAGGTTATATTAAAACACAAATAAAAATTTGTATAAAAATACCTTTCGTTCATGAAAACTCACATGACTACAACCTTGATATGCAGTATGGCTACACAACCACGTTACTGTAACATTTTTCTTCCAGGTATGAGTCATAAATAAGTTAACTAGATAATTTTCATTTATCAGGAATATATAAATATACAAGTTGAATTGAAAATGCGATACATTTCGTAAAAAAAGAAATATATCTAGGAATACTATAGTGTACAACAATCAATGTTCAGAAGGCTCGTAAGCATACTTCCAAATATCCCCGAAACACACTGAAGAATGAAATCTGTAGAACATCATCAGTGGTAGACACATGTGACCAAGGATTATCCAGAGCTCCTTCCCGTAGAACTCGTACCTGTTGTCTTGCATTCCATGGCTTTTTACCTCGAAAGTTTGCATCAGCCAGAGGGAGATATTAGAAATTATAAGAAATGTGACTAGCTCACGACCGGGCTTCTTTTTGCGAAGTTGTTTTGTGTTGCTGGATCGACGAACACCGTCCAAGATGAAGAGCGTTTGGATCAAAACTTGGAACACCTAGACGGAAAGAATAGTTTACTATACGTAGGCGTAGGATACGGCATACATTTTGTCATACGAAAAGTCACTACAATGCAGCTAAGCTATATTTACATATTTGTAAAGTACCCTCTTTTGTTATTCCAAATGCAAAGTTTAAACATTCAGCTCTTATTTCAAATAAGGTAAGTTTTTTTTAGTTTCACCATGGAGTCATTACCGTACCTTCCCCTAGCTTTCGCCGTGGTCTATCAACTAAAAAATGTGACGAAATGAAGGAAGTGTTTAGTGACAAGCCGTTCTTTAGGATCATTGAGAGATGGTGTTTAAATTTCAAACATAGATTATTCAAACGATCCAAGGTCAGGCCAGCCACACGAAGTCATAACCGAAACAAACGTGGACCTTGCGGGAGAAGTTATAATGATAGACAGGTGAACCACATATTGACAGCAGAACCTCTGAATATTTCTGGACGAAGGATTGGACGATTTGTATGCGATCATTTAAATATTAGTAAACTTTATACACATTTAGGTACCCCAGACATCACCTCACGCACAGAGCATTCCCAAGAGTAGCATAGGTAAAAATAATGCAGAAAAAACCTGAAGTTGGAATGACATAGAGTGCGGCAGCTCTAAGCCCGCGCTATACTTGGTGGTGGCAGGCAAGGGGTGCCGGGTGCTAGGCTACAGGTGACTGGTCACGATCCATTATATTTTCACATTGTGTTAGGGGTTGGCTGCGAGATTCAGACCGAAAAGGAAGCAAATCGTAAAATGTCTACTGCGAATACTGCCGTGTAGGATTGACAGATGAGTCAGGTAGAATCGAAGCGTATTATTAAATATATTAAATAATAGTATTTACGTAATTCTCGTGCTCCTATATTGTATTACTATACCACCCCCGGACCACTGATCAATACTTTCTCGTTCGAGAGCCCGTGTTCGTTTGCTTTGTTGTAGCGTAAATGCTATTTGAACAGAATGTATAAGGTACTCGTATAAAAGATGAAATTGTTGCTTGGTAGCGACTAGTTTCATACAATTAAAAATAAATTAAAACGGCTTCAAATATTCTCTGCAAGGTGTAAAACGCTGTTGCGTCTCCCGTTACCTATGTCGAGTATACTAAAACCAATGACACAAACACAGATACAAGCAGCGTCGCCTGTGACAGACATTATTCTGCCACCTAATGGAAAACTTGACTCTTACCTCAAGAACTATGTTGAAGCATCCAATGATATTTGAATAAATTATTGCTGGGATTATGCTGAATATCCCATTTAGAAAATAAGCAGGGATACATATAAACAGAAGGACATCATCTAGCAAGTGGTTATACGCAGTGTTCACATCCAATTTCGTAATTTGTCGATAACCAAAAATGCATGTTGCCATCATAAGTGTTAGAATTATTACTGAGGTCCCTATGTTCAGTGTGATTCCCATCTCAGACCTGTCTCTAAAAATTTATTAAAAACACAGTTTGTGATGTTGGATAAAAACTTAATGGGGTATAAATGCATCAGTCTCCTCCTCTGAGTCTAAACAACTCGATCATCATCGAATCTGTAAAAATTAGGGTTTGAATTTCAATGAGGACCCGGTGCTACTAATTTAGGTATTTGATTCCCAGTCAGGTATTCAGGCAGCATTGTTATTTACTCTATCTGTTATACTTACTTATCGTTTTCGTCCATATAAATAGCAATGAAGAACAGAATGCTGCTGACTATAGTAAGTATTAGAACAAAAAATCCGCCAAAAAGACCTCTACTAGAAGAATGGCAATCCATATACACCACAACATTACTCTCGTTTTCATTGTGGCCTATTGGTAGTGGAGTTCGACATTGTCTGGTGGAATGTTTCTCGTCTTGTTCCTGGTCGTTCATTTTATTGCACATTGCGATATTTTGCCATATCATGTACAACACACCAACTGGAAAACATTATTCATACATAAGATAGGTACTGAATTAGGGCGGAACCTAATTATGAAACCGTTGCAATAGGAAATATGCATGTGATTCAAATATCGCTTATTTATTTATTTGTATTTACAGTGTATATTGCTACAGAATGACGTCTGCAACCTTATTTCATATTGGTCACTATAAAATCACGAGAATTAGTGCAACGCTATTGGCCTGACGTCACTACTTTCGACTTGCGACCAATCAATCCTTTGTTGATTGGTCAGTTTATTCTCATTGTCATTGATTTTCAACCTGTCAGCTTTTCATTGTACGTATACCCTATTTCACGAGTATCCATCACGCTTTGACGTCTACTCAGGTGAACAGCTGATCAAGTGACATTTTTTTGTTAATCTGCAACGTTGGCAATAATGAATCGGGTGTAAATCTAGTAAAACTTATTTGTAGCGTTTTGTTTTCTGTATGCAAATGAACTTTTTTAAATAAAAGAGTTGTTAGCAAGTATAAAATGAATCTGCAGCGTACAAAAAACCGAAACAAAATACGGCTGACGTTGACGGATCCGTCAGAATTATGTATCCTATGCTACTATGGGGAATTTTGCGATATTTCTAGATAATCAGCTGTCATTCTACCGTGAAGGATACTCGTGAAATAGGGTATAGTTTGTAGTAATAAACATTACCTATAGTGGATACCAAATAAAATCCGATGCACGTCATAGGTGATGTCATTCATAAAAATCATGGTTACCAACAGTTGACTACATTCAATGTGACATTTCTACTTGAAGTTTAAATTTCCCCGTCTCGATTCGGTTGGTAGTGCCGTGCAGAGAAATGTGAGGTTGCCACTTCTCATTTGTTGACATCAGTTGCCATTGTCCTTTTGTCGTACTATTAGTTCTTTATTGTTTAGTTTGTGAGTTTTGCGCTATTTGAGCTTTGAATCGTTGCCTTGCCAATTAAAAGTTGTTCTTCTCAGAACAAAAGTTACTGTGAAGTGGTATAAAGTATCCAAAATGCCAAAACAACTTAACAGTCGGTGTAAAGAGCTCATATCAATTCTGGCAACAGCGCACAGCTCCAGATCGATGACGTGCATCGGGTTTTATTTGGTATCCACTATATCAATACTTTGTAATCACATGATATACCGACAATAACTTAACCAAAAATACAATGAAATGACAAATCGTGAGTTATGACGTCACTACGACGCGCATCAAAAATGCCGCCTTTAAATCAACGTCATCGGTATTGCAGTCTCAAATATTTAATTACAAGTAAATATGAATGAAGTATGTATTTACTGTATTATAATAACATAAATAATCGATAGAATATACAAAAAAATCATGCATATTTCCTATCACCCTAGAAATCGGCCCTAGGGAGGAAATTGTGTTTTGTTAGCATCATGTAGTTTCCCTCTTTCTTCAGTTGTCGCTAAAGGCAAAACAGGGTTCCAAATGTAGGTCCAGCTTACAATTGAATGAATACATTTTAAGTAAACTGTCATGCTCACCTACTAGAATGCTAAACTCCACACTAAATGGATAGAGATATGGTGAGAAGTCTTTGTATATGGTCCTCATACTTTGGTCATTGTAATCGCATATTTCGGTGAATCTTCTTAGTGACGTGTTCATGTATTGTGTTAGCATTTGGGCACCTAAAAAGGTTTGTATTCACTTTCTGGATACTAGAAGTGAGCCATGTCGAGGTCGCTCTTTGTAACCAGCCGCTTTTGTTAGTGTCATATTGATTCGTCAATTGCGGATGTGCTCACCCTAAAGAAGCACTTCAGTTTCTATCTACATGCATTGTAAAATTTGCCTTGATATGACTTGCAAGGCAATATTGAAATTATATCATTTGTGTAACAGAATTATAATAAAGTGTATGGTCTGTGCGATGGTAGGAACATCCACAGGCCACCACAAGAGGCGCTGCTATTGTGAATAATTAAATATAACCTTTGGAAATATCCAACCAACTGGTTAAGCCCATTAAATAAGAATATCAACGTTATTTTTTATTAAAATCCGCCATCTTGATTTCATAAAATGTTAGCATACCCAGTGTCTCGCGCACAGTCTACACAAATCTAGAGACACCTCATATGTCAAAAGTCATCAATCCAAATCCTCCTCCTGTAGGAGTTGGAACCTCAAATTTTTCGATAAAAATTCGAAATTTAGATTTTATAAGACTTTAGTGTATAACCAATGTCGGACTGTCCAGAAAAACATAGATGCAAGTTACTGCTTCATCTAGAGACCTATATCAAAATCCATCAATCAATTTAACTTCTACTTCAGAGTTGATATTTTCAACGCAAACACGAAATTTTGATTTTATAGAATTTACTATACCCAGAGTCTCTCGTGTCAAAATCCATCAAGCTGTTTAAGCTGTAGCCCGAGAAGTACAAGGTTGATTTATTTCAGAAAATTGAAGAGCGCACATTTCTAAATCGCTCCGGCGAGTCTTGAATTTTGCTTTATGGGCACCCATGTCGATCTTCATTATCGGCTTGCCCAGTTGTACTGAGGAGACCTAGGTTATGGTCGAAACATGCATGTAATTCATATGTATAGTGGATAAATACACTAGAATCACAATAGATAAAAAAGTATTCTATGAGAACGCTGTTATAAAGATCAATACCTTGATCATATGGAGACATCGGCAACGCATATGGCTTTTCATTCGTTAGATTATGTTTAAACTCCAAGTTCTCAGCCTTTTTAAAATCACTTTTTGATGCTTTATTAGCTATAGCTTCCAGAGTCTCCCGAAAAATTGTCCACGCCCAAAAGCAAATGCTTGAAGAAAGACAATGCATAATTCCAAATCTGGCCAATACCACGTTTTTATTCACAATCACCTGCAAGGAAATGGGGAAATCAAAATTCCATTTTTCGTATATTTTTCCATTCTTCTTATATACGTCAGATATGTTCCATACTAGAATAAATGGCTCCTACTCAAAATACATGGAGATACACGAGTGTTCTATTTTAAGCTACCAGTTGCACTAGACTTTCTAGGTTGTTCAAAAGTCTATGTTTCAGATTGTTCAGATTAATTTGTAATATCGAGATAAACGTTTTATACTTACATTTGAATACTTGAATATAAAGAATAACAACAGAAAACTGTACATTGGATATATCAAGTCCAAAACTAATATCGGAACAGAAGCGCATTCGTAAAACATGTGGTCACTTGATGTCAAAAATATTATTTGATAACCCAAAAGCAGTCCGCTATGGCTTAGATGACCAAAGCAAAAACCTAAAAACGATAATCAGTATGACCTTCAAATCAAATTTGGTATAAAAGCGTGAGCTTTAAAAGTTTCGTACCTGCTGCCCCGACTTTCAGATAAAAATTGGTAGAATGCCTGTCTTTGTTAAAACAATAATAATGTTTGGTATTATCATTAGAAAGTTCATGAGGGAGCTGATCAGTTTCCGATGAGTTCATACTATTTGCCATCTCGTTCAACTTTTGTTCTATTAGTTGTTCACGACTTTTCTTGTTCCTCATGTAAAGTCTGATGTCTATCGTTAGGTAGAGGATGTAGATGAAAGCCACTGATACTAACAGCAAGCTAAATATCTAAAAGGAATGCAACATCTAGTAAAGTAGGAGTATATTATAATAATGTTATTATATTACATCCCTAGGTTGAAAAGTAGTAAGTGTTTTTACATAAAAAAAAGGTGCCAATTGTATGTTATAGCAGCTTTATCAAACAAACAAGTGTTTTGATCAAGCTTTTTATAAAACTTGAAGTGAAACCAGTCATATACAAGAGGAGTTTGGTTACCTGGAGAGCAACCTTTCAAGTTTGTTCATTCAACAAGTGGATAATAAGAGTAACTTATATATACAAAAAAGTCCGGGCTATTATGTAAAAAACCACGAAATGTCATCTTGCAAACTAGATAGTTTTTAGTGTGCAAATAAGTTAACATCTTGTAGAAAAAGTCAAACAACCGACGAAATGTCACTTTTTAAGATACGTAACACCTGTGCGGCTCTGTATTTTATCGGGTACGGCATTTTTGCAAAAGTTCAAGGTCAGGTCTTCAATAACTTTATCAAGGAACTCAACGGTGACCTTGAATTTCACCAAAACCTTCAAGGTTAATTCATGGTCAGATTTATTTTTGCAAGTAGAAATACCTACTTTTGAAGCCGGCAATCAAAAGAACAAAATTTTACGATCAAATACAATTAAAGTCCAAGGCAGGATTATCAAAAATGGAATGATTTACTAAATAGGTGCTTCTGGGAAAACACTATGAATCTTACAGGATCAGTGATGAAAATAACTATCAAGGTTAATTCTTTAGTAAATGTTGACGAGTGATCTTGGATTTGACCTTGAACCTCGCATTCAAGGTCATTTTTTCAAATAGATACCCACAGGAACAGTATCGGTTAAACATCATTTGCGACGAGAACCGTAGCGTTAATTTTCTTAATAGGAACCCCTATTATATATATATAAGAGCGAGAAATTTTACATTCGAATATGTATTAATTCAAGATCAAGATGACCTTTGGGGCGTCAGATAGGTTAAATAAAGGTCAAATATGTGCTGCTAGTAAAACCTCTAGTAATCTCGCAGAGATCGTGACGAAAATAATTGGTAAGGTTAGGTCTGAAGTAAATTTGCACAAGTAGCTGAGATCTTGAATTTAACCTTGAACCTCGCCTCCAATATCATTTCAAGATCAACTCTTTGTCCAGATAGAAACGCGTGTTTGATGCCGACAATCCAGAGAGCCGGAAATTTTGTGTTCAAAAGTGCCTACTAAAACTCTAGATCAAGATGACCACTAGAGGTCACATGAAGGCCAAATGTGTGTAAGTCTTAGCGAGGGAACTACGGTGCTCGCTACAAATGATTTTTAAACGATACTGTTCCTGCGGGTTTCTATTTGAAACAAAAATTGAACTTGAAAGTGAAGTCCAAGGTCAAATCCAAGATCACTCGTCAAAATTTCCTACAGACCTGACTTTGATAGTTATTTTCATCACTAATCCTGTGAGACTTATGGAGGTTTTCCTAGTAGCTCAGATTTGATCTTCATGTGACCTTTAGCAGTCATTCTGACCTTGGGTAAAATTTTCTGTTCTTTCAATTGCCGGCATTAAAAAATATTGGCTTCTATTTGAAAAAATAAAGTTGACCATAAATTAACCTTGAAGGTGCAGGTCAAGGTCCATTCCAAGGTCACCGTTGAATTCCTTGCTGAAACTTGACCCTTATATTTTCCATAAATACCTTACCCGAGACAATACAGAGCCGTTCCGGGACTTTTGTGTCTCGCCGTTTAAGGAAATCTAACGATTTACATTTTGCGTTATTGTTATTATTAATTGAAAAGTTAAATATGGATTACCTCAGCTGTTGGATGGCTTCCGTCAACTATATCAGTGACATAAACTGCTAATCCAAGGGTTACATTGAATAAAGCGTAAAATATGCTGAGCGTTTTCGTCAAGAGGTCTCTGTAAAAAGAAGTGGATGTAAAACTGAATTCAGAAATAGAAAAGAATAGAATAAGGTCCACGGTGACAGAAATTAAAATCAGTGAGAGGAAGCGATAAAATATTTTTAAAAAACCTACGTGAAAGCTTTCTTTTTTTCTTCCGGAAGAGTAGGTTTATCATACTGCAGGCTTGGAGTGGCTGGTATGGAATAGGGTCCGGTTACACTTGGCAAGAAGACACAATCTGATATTGATAATAGAGGTCTGTTTGGAACCGTTATGTTCATATTCGTTGGGAAAAAGCATCTTTGTGGACTGTCGATGTTGCAGGAGCAAGATCTTCCAAACGTTCTATCTGTAATTATCATATTTCATACAGGCTAAAATGATATGAGACTGAAATACACAAAATATTCAATCGCTTAAAATTCAGTTTAACAAATAATTAAACCATCTTACCCATGCGGAAATTTCCAGATGATGGGGATGGCAATACCATGCTTTGTACTTCTCTCTGTAAAAGAAAAAATCTTCAACATTAAATACCCGTGTGTATAGAAAATTCATATGAAATTATTCAAAATTGCAATAGACGATTCGCAAAAGTCGCTGGCGAAAAGAATAAGGGGGAATTTGAGGAATTATATCTATAGGAACTTTTCCTGTTATGTTTCGAGGTACGTGACAAATTCATCAAAAATCGGGAATGCTGTTATGGCATCTCATGTGGAAAAGAAAACATGATTTTTTTGTGTGTGTCATATGGGCTTTTTCGGATTATTGCATTGAAATATTAAACATATGTAACATTTTCTGATCATTTCGATAAACAAATCAAATTTGAAATTTAAAAAAAAATAAGTTACAAACCCGGAAGAAAATGTTCCAATCAAAAATTTGGGTAATTTGACCATTTTTATTAAAAATGTTTGCCCTACAATATAGTGCTTAAAATACACTACATGTCTTAAAATGGGATTGGCTTTAATTGAGGAGAAGAACTTCTCACACAGTAGCCTTCCACCACTTACGTGTCAGGATGGAACTATTGTATTCGACTCAAAGGCCAAGGCGGAAGTGCTAGCCAAGATCTTTGCTGCCAACTCCACCATGGACCACCCTACCAACGCCCAAATGCCGTTAATTCAAAGGGTTCCCCACACTATGCGGGAGGTAACATTTAGGCATAAGACCGTAAGACGAGTGCTCTTGTCGCTCGACATCAACAAAGCTTCTGGTCCGGACTTGATTCCTGCCATTGTACTGAAGAGATGTGCAGCGGAGCTTGCTCCAGTTCTTTCGCGTCTCTTCCAGATATCTTATGAATCCGGCACCTTCCCAGAAAACTGGAAATTTGCTCATGTCCAGTCCATCCCAATAAAAGGATCTAAGACCGACCCTCACAACTACAGGCCTATAGCTCTGCTTTCTGTTATAAGTAAAGTGATGGAGAGGTGCATAAATCGCGAGCTTCTGGACTACCTCGAACGTCACAGCTTGATTAGCGACAGGCTGTACGGTTTCCGGCACCAACGATCCACAGGGGACCTCCTAGCTTACGTCACGCAATTGTGGAGTAAACTCATCCAGTCTCATGGTGAGGTTCATGTCGTTGCTCTTGACATCACGAAAGCGTTCGATCAGCTGTGGCGCGCTGCCCTCTTAAGCAAACTTCCATCCTATGGCCTCCCAGAAAAGCTTTGCAGATGGGTGGCTGACTTTATCTCTGGCCGCAAGATATCCGTCGTAATTGACGGATTCTCCTCTTCATCCCACAACGTCAACGCGGGTGTTCCCCAGGGATCGGTCTTGGCCCCAACACTGTTTCTCTTACGTATCAACGACCTCCTTTCCTGCACGATCAACCCATTCCACAGCTTCGCTGATGACAGCACTCTACATGCAGGAATTCAGAGTGACAAGCCGATCTCTGCCGACAAGAGACCTGGAGGCTATCACTGCTTGGGGACGCAACAATCTTGTACAGACAACTCAGTCCGCCGATCGCCTATAAAACCGCACGCTCATCCAGTTAATCGATTCGATTTAAAAAGCGGAGAAGACCTTCGAGAAAGCTCAGGACCACCCGAACGAGCAGCTACGATTCCTCATGGACTACGATCCGGACGAGAGGCCTCGCAACCGCAGAACCAGGTACCCCAGACCAAGGTCCCAGTTGGCACCCGCTAACTGGAACCTTGACTAGGAGACTAGGAGAATTTGCGGCTGCTCCCCCCCCCCCACGGCGTGGATGCAGAGGACCAGGAACCACCGGGACCAGGACCCACCGGGACCAGGACCAACCAGGACCAGGACCCGCCACGACCAGGACCCACCAGGACCAGGACCCCTCAGGACCAGGACCAGGAACAACATATTGGTAAGATGACTTGAAACTCTTGATTTTTCGAAAACAAGAGTTTCAAGAGAAACTAGCAGACCCTCTATCGATGATCGCTTAACGACATCGATAGAATGTGCGAGGTAAAGGGAACCAACCCGGCGTTCCCAGAGACTGAAACACATGAGGAGACGTTGTAGCAGACCGCAGGTCACGCACAACACATGGCCTACCGAGACGCTGAAGAGTCGGGCCACGCGGAGGTTTAGGGTTTAGTGGTTATTAGGTGATCTCTTCAAGACCCTGGAGCCCCACACACGTCGTAGCTCGTGCTATGGTATGGTGCGTAAATGCATTCCCCCCTCGTTAAAAAAAAAAAAAAAAAAAAAAAAAAATTAATCGATTAGTTTCAGTCGACCTGCCAAGCCGAGCACTTCGCTTGCGCCGACAGCGCCACTGAAGATGGCTACCACAAATGTAGCCGAAAGCTCTGGATCAAATCCAACCCGACCACCGCTCAACAGCCCGAAAAACCTAAATTTCATTAGAATTCATTCTTCAATAAAAATAACTGTTTCTTTAATTAATAAGAACCTCATTTTAAGACTAGTATAATTTGAACGCACCCTGGGCGTTATTTTGGAGTAGAATATTAAAAAATAGAGGTGGTTGAAGTTACGGAAATTTTGGTTAGAAGTTTTTTGCACCTTTTTTATTTCAAATTTGATTTTTTGTTTTTTTTTAAAAGTCAGAAAATTCTAAAACGCTGTAATTAATATTTCAATGTAATAGGGGCGAGTGGGTAACAATGAGATATTTGAAATATTTTTTGTTCTAATTTAATTTTGCAGATGGCACTCCAGTAGGATATTTCTACTTTACAATTGGTGTCATTTTATCTTAGTTTAGTGACTCCGTGGTGACGGCTGATGCGACTATACCGTCAACAACTAGCTCGCACAAGTTTAGAGGAAAATTTAGGTACTGCTATTTCAGTCTGACTGTTTATAATCGGACCATATTATTACGGTTTTGGATTATCTAGTGAAAATATTATAGATTTGACTTGAGGTAAGTGAGATTAGTTTATTGGTTAATGTTAAGAATTTGAGTCGTTTTATAACCTAAAAAAAATAATGTGGTGTGGGTAACACAGACATTTTAAAGCGGGTAACAGTGAGACATGTCCCACTGTTACCCACTTAGTTTTACTCGCAAATCACATACAAGTCTACTTTCTAGATTCTGCAGATATTCAGAAAGAAAAACTTACACCTTCTTGCGGCCACACTTTGTCCCAAACTCCTTCAACTGAGAGAACATCACTAAGTAGCAGAAAAGAAAATTTCATTACCCCAGAAGTTATGAGAGGATACCCTAAAGCTGAAGCACGGCAAAAATCAAGGCAAGAAAGGAGAAAAGGCACAAGTATCATTGCAACTGATACTCCTGAAAAAACTGAAATAGAAGACAAATAGAATAAAAGACAGCAAGCACTAGAAAAGCAAAAAAAGTTTATGAAACGGAATTGTAGATGAAGAAACGGACGATGAAGAATGGAAATCTGATGGCTCCAGTAACAGTTTTGAGCATGAAGTGGATCCATCAAGTTTTGAAGAATTAGATAGGATTCCAGTTGAAGGAGATTATGTCTTGACCGAATTTGCAACCGAAAATTCCAAATCAAAAAAGTTTATTATATAGGAAAATTGTTGACAGGAATGAAAGGAAATGACGAATTTGAAGTAACTTACTTAAGGCGAAGCAAAAAACTATCCTAGAAATTCGTTCTACCAGACGTTCCAGATAATTCAAACATCTTGAAAAAAGATATAAAAATGATATTACCTCAACCGTTGAACCATGGACAAACAAAGCGACAGAAGTCATACTACCACTTTGAAATAAGCTTTGATTTAATAGATATTCGCTAAAAATAGTAAATACATATAATAAATAACTAAACAAACAAAATTACATTTACCGCTTCTAAATTTCCCCAGCCACTGTCTTACTATTCCCCACCTATGAGTAACAGTAAGACACATAACACAAGAGAATTCATTACTGTCTATAATTAAAACTATTTAATTTATTACAAAACTAACTGGTAAAAAACAATTATTATATACTACCTGAGAAAAAAACAGTTTATTCATTATTAATAATAACGAGTTTAGGGCAAATTTTAAGAAAAACGTCTCAGTGTTGCCCACTCTCCCCTAATCCGCAACTCAAAAAATAGTTCGAACATATTATCCCAATTTCAAGTACGACTATTTTTTAGAAGCTCATATTTTAGAAAATAAACATCACACGAAGAAGAAATCCTGTTTTCCCTTTCTCACCAACTAGGCTCAAGCTAAAGTGAGTTGAAAACCTCATTTTTTTGTTGGACGCGTCACGTGAAATTCACCTGTTGTGTTACAGTGAACAAAAAATCTGGCTAAAAGAAATTTGTGACCGATGCGGAGGAAAACCATCACGTAAGATTCACCTGAATAAGAAAAGAGATACCTTACCTTCATATATGCACTTGATTGTTCGAATAATTCGAGGTAGCTACTAAAATTCTATACCTAGTGATCTGCAAGGTGCAATAACCAAGGAAGTGAAAAGTTGGTCAAAGAGTTAAACCGCATGCTTGTGGTCGGAACCAACAATAGATTTATTTGCAAAATCGTTCACGTCCATTTGATCTGCTTTTAAGGTTCAGTTGACGCATAATTGGAGTAACAAGTAAGTAATATTTTTCCACATTTAAGATTTTGTAACAGACACTAGTTCTGTATGAAATATCTCAGAGGTCATTATCACTTTTAGAACTACCCATTGAAATACTATTGACTACTGAATAATCATCCTACCAAGTTAGGATAAGATTACAAGTAGATAAGTAAGGAGTTTACATTTTATAGTTGCTAAACTTACTGGATTACAAAGAATTAATAGTCATTAACAATGTATGTGTTTTTGTGAGTCTGTTCTTATAAAAAAGTTATGAAAGCGATAGTTATGTTTTATAGCTAAAATTGGCATTTGATCATCATATCCTACAATATATTGTGAAGAGTTGCTTTAATATGTTCATTATGCAGTATGAGTGAGAAGACGAGAAACTTTTCAACAGCTTTAGCGAGTTTGATAGGGGACGAATAGTGAGCTTGTGTAAGGCTGCCTGGTCCTTTACAGAAATAGCCACCAAGGTGCTCAGAAGTAAAAATACGGTGGTGGTTTGTTGATCAAATTTGCAGCATAAAAATAACACATGTTGCAATTACAGCATATCAACCTATTTTCATTTCAATGCAAAATAAGTCTATAACGCATAGGTGGCTGTGAAAAATAAAAGCCATGACAATTGTTTTTATTAATCACAGCTGTCAGAATACGTTTAAAATCGTTTTGGGTAGTTAAGGTTTTCAAAATGGGTAGAGGAAAGGTTATTATTGAGAAAATTCGGTTACTGATAATTAATTTTTTTAATTCTGGGAAATCAAACTCAGAAATTGCAACTTTGTTAGACTTATCGCGGTACAGTGTGAGAAATATTGTTAGAAGATATAACGTAACTGGTTCAGTTAATATTAAGCCACGATATGTGAAAAAAGTAATATCTCAAATGCCGACCGAAGAGCATTAAGAAGAATAATCGTGAAAAACAGGCGTGCCAATTATTTACAATTAAGTGCTCTGTGGAGTGACGCTGTTGGAAGGAGAATTTCGAGGTCCACAAGTCATAGAGAGGCCCACAAACTGGGATTTAGCACTTGCAAGGTAGGTTTTCTTATAAAAAAGTGAAGTAAAAACGCTAAAGCTGCACAACTTGTTTATAGGCCAAAGAAAAGCCACTATTAACTCCACTGCAAAAGAAAAATCGGTTTAGATGGGCTAAAGAACATAGACAATGGACACCTCAACAATGGTGTGCAATACAATGGAGTGATCAGGCCCGATTCGAAGTTTGTGTTGGAGACAGTTGCAGTAGAGTTATTCACAAAAAAAAATGAAGCATTCCATGTTGACTTTCTGAAGAGGAAAGTGAAATTTCCAGCATCCCTTATGGTCTGGGCAGTATGTTATCAAAAGGAGTAGGAAAACTTCATTTTATTGATGGAAATGTGGATACAAACAAATATTTGGCAATTTTAGAAGAATCGCTTTTACCAGTGATGGAAGAATGTTTGACATCCGGCCAAGATTTTGTGTTTCAGCAAGATGGTGCAGTGTGCCACACCTCAAAAAAGGCTATGAAATGGATGGAAGAAAATAATGTACCACTATTGAAATGGGTTTCTAGCAGTCCAGATCTGTCACCTATTGAAACTTTGAGGCACGAGATGAAAAAGGTTCTACGACAACATCCTGCTCGTACAATCACCGAACTGAGACAAAAGCTTCAAGACATATGGGCTTATTTTACACCAAATTTTTGCCAAAACTTGGTTAACACTATGCCCCAAAAAATTTCAGCCGTAATAAAAAATAAAGGTGATGTTACCCAATAGTAATCTTTCAATTGTTGCTTTGTTAACTTCGCGCATTTATTCGCACATTGTTTATTTGTTCAGATGTTCTATTAGTTATAGGTCTAAGTGATTTCAAATATGTATTTTTTACGACTAGAGTGTATCTAAAATGTTTTTGAGAAAATAAATTGTTTTAGAAGTAAATAGTTTGGTCATGTTTAGTTTATAAAGGCATATTTTGGTACAAATCTTGAAGTGGGCCAACTGAAGTGGGAAGTGGGAGTATGTAAGTATTTTAGTAAATTATCAAGTGTTTACAGTTGTTTTATTATAATGTCCTGTTGCAATGCAAGACTAGTTAAGAAATATATATATATATATATATATATATATATATATATATATATATTGACTCGCATTTCATAACTAACGAAAAAGATTAAACAAATGATAATTCTGAAAGTACTATTAGGATTTTTATAAAATTTTGACCCTAGGTTACTACTATGACAATGACGAAAAAGCTCTGCAGTTTTTGAAAATCGATACAGTGGCGGCGCAGTTATCGTCGAAAAACAAACAAAAAACGGTCAAACTTCGCTTTTCGACATTTCTAAGGCTTATGACAGACTTAAGATTTGGTCGCTGAAGACAGATTCAAGCGCGGCACTGACATCGATAATACACGTTGGCACCACGATGCGTCGAACATCCGAGACTAAAAAGCTCATCCCATCGTGTAGGAGACACACTTGCCAATTGTGGGGTGTAAAACGTAAACAACGTTGTAGATAATGGTAGAAGCATACATTTATTTGCTCCACATTTTATGTAGGGAAAGTTGAAAGTTAGAACACAAAAATAGTTGCTTTGTTACCTCTTCCGTACTTGCATCTTTTGTCCTAAGCTGCACTGTATCTGTACCCTCAATGCAGTTGCTCTCTGATGTTTGGTCTGATACTGATAACACCATACCATACTACTATTAACTATGGGAAGGAAACTGATGAATGCAGTGCGATTTTAATGAGCATGAAAGCTGAAAATTATGAGCAATGCTTGGATGAAAAAATTATTGATAGATATACAACTACTAGTAGAAGTGATACAATAGGTACATAATCGCTATTATTATTAGACGGTAGTCCATATTCGGTAGTAAACCTTAAATACATTTATGATGAGAGTAAGACATGAAACTTAACCTGTCAGACAATGCAGCCCTATCTACATTTATGATGATTTATTGCCAGCTTATTGTCTATTTCAAACAATAATTTCATCATCAAAATGGCTATACTTGATATTTAATATCATCATGCAGAACAGATAGCTATCACAGTTTTTGAAAATTTTGATAGAGAAACATTAGTTACACTTTTCGTTTTTACTTCCCACGCCTACTGGGGAGAAAGTTTTTGACTCACGAAAAATTTAGAAACATGTTTTTTAGTTGTTATATGACATGCATGTATGTCACGAAAAACCATGTGGTCTCATTTCCGACGGAAATCGTTGGCCCACCTCTAGCTTGGAAGATACTGGTCGGATTTGGGTGAAATGCTTAGACAAGGTTACTAGTGTGAGAAGAACTAAACAGCTTTGTAGTTTTTGAAAATCGGCTACAGCGAACCTAAAAACAAACGAAAAAATTAAAAGTCGTTTTTCGACGTTTCAGCAGATCCTGATCATTTTTTAAAAAATTTGAGTAAAAAATGGGGGGTGGGGGAAGGTTATCACATTTTTTATCTTAGTATGTCCATACGCTTCCAACCTCGGTAGTTCTATCCACCTATCAGACATATTACACATCATACATTTCCTCTTAAAACAATGATAGAGCAATGCGTTCGACATGCGCCACGCCACTACTTCTCTTGTCTGGGATTACCGGCGAGCCTGCCACTCTTTTTAAGTGTTCTGGTCCTGTCTGACGCGTTTCGCTGCCAGCTTTCGAGGAAATGTGGCGTTGCCAGATGGACTACCGGTATGGCAGGGTAAGGATGTCTATGGGCCAATTGTGTGGACCTGTTTGACTGACTTGATCTTTTGAATTTTTTTTTTATAAATGTTCGTAACAAACTTTTTGCTTCTCATACCTAGTGGCGTTGTAATTGTGAAAAATTTCGAAAATGTAATATTATGTTTTTTGGATGTTATATGACATGCACATCACGAAAAGTCAATCATTTCCGTCTGACTGTCTGTCAGTCTGTCTGTCTGTCCGCTAATATTATATCTCCTACAGCCGGGTGTCGATACGTGCGACGTAAAACAGTTGGCAATCGCTTGCGCACTGCTGTGGGCTGTGTCGTTGTGTGCACTGTGCATAGTGAGGGCCACTATCGTCAATCACGCAGGATTTTCGTAGCTAACTTTTTTCTCAGAAGGGCTAACCTGTGTCAAACGTAATCATTTACAAACTGATGACAGTGTGGCGTAGGAAGTGCAGAGTCAACCTACTTGACGCTATTTTTTTCATCTACTTTCGGCCCTGGAAATATTGTTGCCACTGTTTGTTGAATCACCTTTTATATCGTCGGTGAGATGCACGATAGTTACAGATGAAGTCCTGGGAGCATGGGATACTGCGTAGATGAGTCATCGAGATCAAACTGTAGTAGGTATGCGATGCGTCCAACCAGCGAGCGGCGGCGATACCTACATATTTCAGCAACTGATTCATGAATTAATTTCCCAAAATGACCGCCAACCACGACTCGTTGAATGAATAGCCGAAATCTAATACGGTAATCAGAAAACATTAAAAAAATCATGTACGAGTATGATAGATCAAGAAGAGTTCGATATTAAGAAGTATTACCTACTACTTATTGGCGATGTTACGAATGTTCGTACTCGCATTGGCATTCCCGAAATTCATGCTAATGTTTTGCGAGCATGTCTATCAAAAAAAAAATGTTTAATAATATTACGTACTTGAATAAAACAAGAAATATCACATACTTTTTTGCTAGAAAAGCATGTTGTATAGATAAACAAAATTTTTATTCTGCACATATTTTTTCCTCAGTATGTAAAACATTCGGACATTTCTCATTAGAGAACATAAGTTTCGTTCGTTTTGTTAGTGAAGTGAGACAGCGATGAGGCTGTCAAAAAAGTAAATATCTGGCTCACTTCAGAGTACAAAAAGAACAGGGAGCAAACGTTGACCAGAGCTTGACATGAAAAATGGCATCAAGTAGGTTGACTCTGCACTTCACACGCAATCCTATCATCAGTTCATAAAGAATTATGTTCGGCCCAAGTTAATCCCTTTGACTTAGCTGCAAACATGTATATTTATTTATTTATTTATTTCCAACAGGTGAAACCCAATTACAGGAAACGCTGAAAAAAAATAGCAATTAAAGAGACATGGTTCTTGGACTTAATCTATAGTATCACACATTCTAAATAAGATTGGATGATCTATAACAGTTAATAATCGTTGCACAACTGTCACTGTAGATATCACACGATTCAGTAACACTGTTCATGACGCAGCACATGAAATTAATTGGCGATTTTGTCATAACATTTGTACGGCCAGCTTGACAATAGAATGCCATTTGTTGTCGACTCCCTAGCCTTGGAACGCGGAAACATATTTTTTCAAGTACATTTTGACAGTCAATTTTGTTGTGAATGAGGCCATACAAAAACGACAAAGCAAATATGTTTCGTCTTGTTGACAGTGAATCCAAATTGAAAGACTCTAATAGGGCACTGTGGTCACAACCTCTTTCTGGATAAGAACCTGTGCATTTAAGGTGAAAATACTTTAAAGCTTTACGTTGAATGGCCTCAAGGATCACGACAGAATTTTGGTATATAGGAGACCAGATCAGAGTTGCATACTCCAACTTGCTCCTGACAAAAGTAAAAAATAAAGTTATTAATGTATCAACATTGGAGAAACCTTCCAGTTTCTGATACAGAAACCAAGTAGTCGAGTGGCAGCCGACGAGATATTGAGTATGTGCTCAGTAAACGTTAGCTTGGTATCAAATATGACTCCAAGGTCTCTATAAGAGGTGCATCTGTCTATAACCTGACCATTGATGTTATAATTATACAATTAGTACATTCTCCATAGTCATCATCCATTTGATAATGCTAACGCTAGTTTCCTCCCTGTCCCTGACCATTTGGCAACGCTGCTGGACCACACCAGTGAAACTCGTCATGAGCGTCAGCCACGATACTATAGTATTTCTGCCGGGGATGCTGTCAGACGCAAGGTAGTGTTCGGGGTATGAAAGTCGCCATTGTGTCGCGTGGGCGCCGACCGCCTGTTTTGTCTATAAATATAAAGTTATAGGGACAAATGTACGGGGAAATCTTTGATGTGTAAAATATGCACTGATAAATGCGTAAAATTATTGGGGTTGGAAGCGAAAATGAGATATATTTTCCCACACCCGCTACAATCCCTACCCCTTTATTTTAAACTTCTTAAATTTTTCTTCTGAAAATGATCAGGAACCTCGGAAACGTCAAAAAACAATGTACGAGCGACATATTTTTTTTTTGTCCCCACCTCCGCCGCCGGCCAAGTGTCAGTGGAATCCATCTTGAGACATAATGTGGTTTTAACTATCAGCCAAAATATGTGCGATGAACAAGTTATTAATATATAATCGCCTTTACAAAGTTCTTGGAAAAGTTAATATTAAGTGACCAATGCGTAACAAAATAATATGCTAATGACTAGCATGAAGTACCTGTTACTTCCAAAATTGCAATATTTCCCAAAAAAGCTATAAAACGTTTACTTTTGTTGTAAACTATTGACAGATGTCTATCGTTCTCAAGATTGCACTCTCCTGAATATACAAGACATAAATCAAATTCAAGCGAATAACCAAATGAAAATGGTATTTACCATTTTGGATTGGTATTTACCGATCCTTTCAAGCGAGTGTGGTTATAAGATCCGTGATGTCATGAATCAGCTGTTATATGTCATAGCTATCACCGTAAAATTGTGGTATTTACCCAACTCCGAAGTAGTTTTATATTTATGGTTATTATATGAAATGTGACAAGTTAGAATTTTGGCGGGTGTTGGATATTTTTATTGTACTTCAGCTTCATTTTTGAGAAACTTGATACAGGCTGACTTCAGTTGTAGCATAAAACAGAGCACCTTATTAGATATACTCATTATAGACAGGGAGATGTGGGCAAAAATGGAGGGGTCATGTGATACAGCAGGAAACCTACTCAGAACGATAGTACTACATGAAAAAATAACTTCTACCACTATGCCGTCACTTGAGAGCGGTACATGTAAGTACAGGGGAAAATTGAATTTTCTGTCCAGAAGTGATTTTTTACGGCTTTCTTTAGTATCACAGATGCCAACAAAATAATCACGATGCACTTAGTGCCGGAAGCCATAAAAATATTAATTAATTAACGTACGGCATTGTTACAGTTACCTTTCTGTAATTTTTTACATTTAAAATTTACCAACGCCGTACATATCTGCTGGTACAGGGGTGAGAAAACTTGGGTCGAAACCCCCTACCCTTATATAGTATAATGGTGGTGAATTGATACAACGTAAAATTAAATAATTTTAATAGTATTTGATAAATTAACGACAATTTTTATAATGCCGTACATTTTTCGTGGAATATATGGCTACACGGGGAAAATAGTGTTCACCCAAAAATTGTAATTTTATGGTGAAATGATTTTGTGCGGCATTAACATACTTCATTAATACTTGAAATAATCATCAAGAAAAAATATATGCCGTATAAAAAGAATAGTTCCACGTACATTAAAACAATAATTTTCACCTATGGAAATTATTTGTATTATAAAGATGATTTATTTTTACACGGCATCTGTCCGCTTTGCTTTCTACATTTGTATAAATTAGTTATAATATAATGCCGTACACATTCGCCGGTTCGAGGGTAATAAATGTAGTCTAACATTCATAATATTTTTTAAAATTTAAAAATGATAAAATTATACAGATTTTATACAATAATAAACAGTAAAGATTATTTAAAATTTACAAATATTTAAATAAATGCAGCTATACGGCATGTATCCAAATATACCGCCAGATGAAATATATAAAATTTGAAACTCTCAAAACTGCCCTCGTATACCTGCATTCCTTATACTATTGACAATAGCGGTAGCAAATGGTGCTCATTCTGGACCGAAGATGTCAAACAAGAGATTGAAATGAATGTCGTACATTTTCCGATGACTTTCCACCATAGAGGTCTAAAGCATTATTTAGAAAATATAATTTTTAATCTGTCTTTAACTTGTCTTGTCATATTTTATATAATTTTAACCATTGTACCATGTATCCAGCTCTCACCATGTTACTGGACGTTTCCCTCATCCTATACGAAAACAACAATAATTAGCAACATCCTCACATACTACTCTCCTGATGATGATGGCAAAGTCCATTGAAAGCTAGAGAGAATTAAAAAAAGTATAAAGAGTCCTCTTTGCTTAAATTTTGTCGAAGTACCCAACATAAGGCGGAAGCTTTAATTTTTCACCTATATATATATATAATATATATATATATATATATATATATATATATATATATATATATATTATAATTTAATTAGGTAAATACGTATTGGAATGACAAGAAACTTGAATACCACAAAAACAAAGTTTGAAGACATTTAAGTTTTTGTTTATTCCTCTCTGAATTTTCGTACGCAGAAATCCGGTTCATGTTCTAAAATAAAGCTAATGTGCGCTGAGTCAAAGTGAAAAAGCAAACAACAGTTTGAATAAAATACCATTTATTTGATACAAAATTCCAAGTAGCGTCCTGTCATCACATGATGCTTACGACAAATGCATTTTTGTTTTTTTTTTCGTCCGGTTTGTAAATAAACAGCTCTGTTTACATATGAATATATATCTTATCCACTAATAATTCACACGAGGGGCAGGACCGGTTTTAGTATAGCAGATTTTTCTTAGAAAATCGCTCAATTTTGCATGAAGACCTCAGAAGCAGTGTTGTGTTTTTAGCGAGTTGGTATATATTTGGACAAAAAAACTTTATTGCACGGGCTACAGGCCAAACTATTTGATGGATTTTGACGCGTAAGGTGTCGTTGGATTCGTCTTAGCAGTGCAATTAACACTTGGAATATTAAAATTTTCTTTAAACAAAATGGCGGGCTGCAGTTTGAACCGCTCGATGAAGATTTCTCCAGTGCGAGTGACACTGGCTCAACAAATTCAAACCAGGTAGAAGTCAATTCAAGGATTTGTTTGTCTCCTAATTCTCATATATGTAATCCGTTGCGACGATCACAGTGCATCCTACAAGTGTACTTGACATAAGTTAATTTTCGACAGTGCGAGTGCTTGCAGATCATTTTAACCCCACAATTTGACGACGATTTCAAGACATGGTACTTATTACATAATTTGAAAAGAGCAGCACAAGCCTAATGAAACTAGATGCCTCTACTGGTAAAGTTTTTTTTATTGCGTTGATACAACGCTGTCACTTTCCAATTTGAGCATATAGGCTTGGCTCCTAATCTATTCGAATTGGTTGCACTGTCTATAGGTAGTAAAATTTTACAAAATCAAAATGGCGGATTTTAATTGAAAATTTCAACTTTAAATTCCTATTTCATAACATTGCAAGCGACACTCTTTGGCACTGGCAGTGCAATTCTAGGTCCGAATGTAAAAAGGTGTGAAGCTAGAGAAAATTCCTAGAAGCCTGCCAGGATTATTGATGAAAAAAATGAAGGTCGGATCGTCGGTGAATTTTAACAAGGCCTTCAACATTGACCTTGAATCTTACCCTGAGCGACACCTTTAAAGTCACAAGAGCGTGTTAGAACGTAGAACGCATGTATTTCCTATTGCCACTGTCAGAGTTAAAAAAATTAACTTTTTAATGACTTTGAAAGGATGGTTCAAGGTAGAATTCACTACTGATATCTTTGTTAGAAGTCTTAACACTTTTTTCATCAATATTCTGTCAAAAATCTAGTAATTTTCCCCATCCTTACACATTTGAACATCAATTCGCCTCCAGTAACTTTCAACAAGTCCTCGAATATTGATATTGAAATTGACCTTGAGCCTTACCTTTAAGGTCACAAGAGCGTTTTAGTACGCATATATTTTCTATCGTCTATATCGGGATCAAAAAGAAAGTTGACTTCTGAAAGACATTTGACCCTCTAATGACCTTTGGAGGTGAATATCATCTTGAAATTTGCTACATTTGCAGTCGTAGAATTCACATTATTTTTTTTAAGACTACCTTAATTGGAAAAATACAGAGCCGTTGCGGTACTTTTGTTGCACCTGGTATAGAAGTATAGTAATTGATGTTTGGGATTGTGACACTGGATTTACTCTGGAATGTCTTTCTACAATGCGACATAATTATAATAACTCTTCATGATTGATAAAATTAATAGGTATAGCAATGAGGAGTACCTACCTTTGCATTTTCTAGAGCCATAAAAGAAACCAATGAATTACATATAAACTGTAGACTATCGACAAATATTGACCTTCATATGATAAAATTATTTCCTGTACTATGATATAACAATAATTCGTCCAATTCCAGGACTTAGACATTCCATCGTTTCGAGAATGGCATAAAAACTGATCATTTATCAAGTTGTAAAGGAGGCTACGGCGAAAAAACGAAAAGGCGTCGCGATTCCGGGGCAATGTGGCGCGACAATCCAAAAAAAATCCTCCTTCATATTGGCGCCTTGACGCCACCTAGTGAGTCACAGCCTACACTTCGCCGATCTTGGTTTCGCTCTCTTTCCGGTCGACTACAGATGATTAATCAAAATTTCCCGGATATCCATCTGAGAATATCAAAATAATCATATCTAAACGGTTACACCATCGCATTCTCGTTACCGAGATCATTCTGATGCATGCCAAAGATGACGCATTCTACTTGGAAAAGTAGAGTCACTCATCGTAAGGAGTATTACGAGGAGCTTGTTGAGCAGTCCGATGCAGACCGAGGTAGCAACGGTATAGATTGGATTATCGACTCTAAGCTCAAATCCAGTGATAAAAAAAACGAGAAGAACAATGGTACTGTTTCCGACGGAAAGTGCACACCAGAAAACTTGAACATAAAACATAGCGACAGTGTTGGTGTTATCTGTGAAAGTGATACTGGTAATGACTGTACTCATGTGTTAGTTCCTGCTGGTAAGTGATTACTTCAAGTGATAGTCTTATCCATCAGAGCTTTGACATTAGTCCGCGCATACAAGATTATTTTGCTTGAACCTTGAAAGAACTAGGAACGAGGATTTTAAGTGTCGCCCTTAAGACACAGTTGTCGTTCGTGAGAAATATTTTTGTAACTTGATTTTCTTCGCTTATTATTGAGAGTATGAGAAACCTCTCAAATCCTATCTTTCTGAATGAAGAATGAAAAATTGACAATTTGCAACCTGAGTATTTTTCATGAAACACGAAACGTTTTCTTATGAGAGCAATGTAGATCTATCCCAGAGTTCTAGTCCTTTTTGTTAAAATGGTCATTGTTGATGCATACTCGTAAGCGATCGTAATGCAGCTCAACTAACTTCAGTTTGCAGAGCTTATTTTTAAAGTACTTCAAATAACTTTATATTTTAGAAACGACAAGATATGTCATGAAAAAATCAACATCAACATCAGTTCATAATCTTTGGGTCTTTAAAAATTATTTTGGCAACTATGTACCTGAAACGATCGAAGCTCTGAGGAAAGCTAAGAACCAAAACTAAAGGTTTGAGCCTACAGACGCTTCTTTGTTTCACTCAAAAATAATCCAGAACATGTCAGACAACAAAAAGTAACGAGCATTTTTATAGTTATAACTTTGGAGGTATCAATACGTCTAAATAACTTCAAGTCACGAAGAGGTTTTGTTTACAAAAATACTGTCTGTAGTGTCACTATTCTTTTTTATATTTTTGACTACTCATTCGTCAGTTTACCAATCGAAACTTATATGCAAAACTCTTGCATCGAATATTGATAAAGCATTTGTTGGTCTTATATTTTGTACTCCTTATTGTTAGATCCACAAGAATGGAACAGTGTTCACATTCAGTCATGGTTGGCATGGATAACAAAGAAGTTCTCTCTCTATCCAGTACCTGATCCCGAGAATTTTCCGAAATCTGGAACAGAAATATGTGCACTAACAACAGTCGAATTCGAAGATAGAAGTGCGTCTTCGAGGTCAGGTATGAAAAATAAAAAATCTTACGGAACTACTTTTAGTATCACGGAAGACCAAAAGCATTCAGAACATATTTCAGAAGTGTAATGAACATTTAAAATATACGAGCTTAGGCTCAACTAAAGATGATGTTAGTCATAATAATAAAATAAAGCTTATCTACAAACATTTGTTAAAGCTTGATGCTATAGCGTCATTTTCTTTGGGTACCTTCCACTTTTGTCATATCAGTTAGGTGAATGTTGCTTAAAATATAATACAACAAAAAATAAGGCGTATCTTTTATTCCAGGGATCATTCTTGCCAAATACATAGCTCACGTTCGGCATAGTGTTACGGGAAAGACAAGCAACTTATTACAAGTTCAGTGTAAAGAATTCGAATCAGTTGTAGATGATGACAAGTCTAATGGTAAGTAGTGATTGCCTTATGTAGATCAAAGTGCACTACTTGAGAAATGGATTTCAAAAAATATTCGAGAATACTCCTCAATTTTGTATGCTGTATTGTTTCTCACTTCAGTCAGTCAGCCTTGGCATCAGGGGTTACCGAAAGTAATGGTTACGTTTATAAAAAAATGTGTTTTTCTAGCCCAACCCGTCAGATTAAAAACTCATAAAACTTTAATATAAAACATTTATACCTATATTCATGCTTGTAAAGCAGATGACTGAACCGGTCACTATTCCCCTGTATTTCAGTCTTCGATAAACAACAGTTCTCCGAAATTGAACAGCTGGAATCTGATCTTGTGGGATTTCCAATGATTAACAGCCTTAGAAGTGCCGAAGTAACTCATTATTTTATCTAGCTTGTAATGGGTTCACAGAAAAACCGAACGATACACCTAAATAACTCCTTTTGATATTAACAATATCACTATTCAGCTAATGAAACTATTTTGAAATACACAGTGCTTCAAACATATGGTGAGAGTGCCCTGCATATTTGTAAAAAAAGTAAGAACGATAAATACACGTTGATATTAAAAAATCATTGGTTCAATTTAATGAAGGCGGTATGCACAGCCTGCGAAAATCAAAAGCTCGCCAATGTTGACCTAACAAACTAGCTCAAAGATCGCTTTAAGCTTAATTAATTTTGAACGAATCTTCGGGGTCTTGCAGAGGAAAGCTTTAGCTTTAATTTAGACATTTTGCAACCTCAAATATGTTTAAGCAAGTGAAGATGACCATTTTTATTGATTCTCATTCATTAAATTGTTTATAGTTCGAAAACGACTAACTTAATAGAAAAGTCACTGAGAAGTTTTTTTGTTCAGAATGGATCAGAAATAAATAATCTGAACAGCAAAAACTTTTTTGTAATTACTTAAGGGGGGAGAGGTTAAAAAAGGGACCAAAAGGTGGTCCAACAAGATTCGGATTGTCTTTCTTTGACCTCTTATCAGTTTATATTTGTTCATAATGTGCGGTCCTCACAGCTCAATTCCTTCTAGCGTCTGGTCTACATAGGATAAATCCGAACTCATGAAATATGTCCTTAACATCAACAACCGCCCCACTGTCTGCAATAAACACCACACCGGCAGCCTCCCTTCAACCGTCAACCATTTATATTTAATATAAAAGCAAAGGGATTAACCGCCCTCTGAGAAGGGCGCATCTAAAAGTCAAATGTCACTCGACTGCGACTCGCACCGAGATTCCGGGATTTAACTTGTTACCCCTGACCAGGACCCCGAGTCTAATCTAACACGTTGCGCTACAGGCTTCTTTGCAAGGATTTGAGGAAAGGATCCGTTAAGAATAAACCAAAATTCCTTCTCCGATCCTCCAATCTCAGTGTTCTTAGAAACATTCAAATGACATCCTGTCTATTTTTAGAGACGAGATGAGATGCTTAGATGCCTAGTCAAGTGTGTTTTTGTGACAAAATCAGAGGAATGTGTTTAAACGTTAACATTTTCATGCTTTTTAGACAAATATAGTAGTAATATTAATAACAAACTGTTTTTATATAGAGCGTAGCTTAGCGCCACTGAACTGTTAACAAAAATAAATTAACATCAAAAATATAAAATAAATTGTGTAAATAATAGTACAGTACTACGAGTAAATAGTAGTATCATATACATTTCACATAAATCCACGTACGATACCAAAATTATTTTTAAGATGACCTGCATATTCCATGTCCATAATTTAGAGAAATGAGGTGTGATGATTCTCTTTAAATTTGTTGTTTAAAAATGAATTTTTAACTTGGTTCCTAAAATCGCTGAGGTTCACAAGCTTCGTAGGCGGTAGTAATGCATTGTATAGTAATATACAGGGTGTAAAGTTAGCAGTGGATCAACGGAAGTCAGGGCCTCAAAGCCTATCGAATGAACCCCTATATGTGTGGTCCGAAATTTTATAGTTCAGGAGATATTTGCAGTTTTATGAAATTTCGAAAAAAAACGGGATAATGAACTTTCAATCGCAATTACCACTAAACCATTAGGTTTAGGGCTGTAATTTTTTTTTAAGATCACCCTAATGGTTAGTTTTAGCAATGGTTATGTCACTTTTTAACAGAGCTAATTAGAAATCAACAGAATTAAATTCATTATTTTTTGTGAAAAATCTCTTCCAACCCTCAACTTCGGAGGGCGGTAAGAAAAATTGAGGTTGTATTTTATTATTCATTTTATTGTAAAAACTATTTCAATCCATTTAGAATAAACCCTGAAAATTTCAGCTTGCTACGATAAGTGCCTCACTTTAAAAAATCTATGTTTGACGCAGAGGTGGGTATCTATACATGTAAACAAGAAATTTTTATTTTACGAGCTACAGTCCAAACGACTTGATGGATTTTGACATATATGAGGTACTGTTAGGCTCCTCTTAGCAGTGCGAGTAATACTGTGTGTATTAACATTTTGTAAAATCAAAATGGCGCATTTTTTAGTCAAATAGCCAAATCAGCTTAATGTCCTTGGGCATTCAACTCGGCATTCCAGGTGCGGGAGCGTTCAATATTCGGCCGACCGAAATGACTTAAGTCAGGCAATGGTCCACTGTGGAATTTGTATCTAACGTTTGGCATCTGAGTAGAATCATGTCATAGTCTCCTCGAGATTATGCAGAAATGCATCACTATTATGATGCTGGCCTAGGAAATGCTCGAGCAGCTGCTCACATGTATCGAGAGTATGTGGTTAGAAGAGGTGGACCACAATCGACTACCGCGTTTTTCTACGCGTCCATATTGCGTTTATAGAGGGCCGCATACTAGGCACTCATCGTCAGCTACGAGCGCTGAGGATACGCTCAGAAGAAATAAATAAATTTATCCTTACCGCGTACAAAAAGTATAAGAATTGCTTCCAAGCGACTATGCACAACGGGTTGAATTTTGTGAGACTATGTTCAGAAGGTGCGAAGAGGATGAACATTTTTTCGACAGCATCTTATGGACAGATAAATCCAACTTTAACCGAAATGGAACATTCACCATGCACAATTTCCACACAATTTATTAGACCATATCAATTGCCCGCCAGGTTGAATGGTCAGTCATATCTTGCTTTTCTACAAAGCAATTTGCATGAGGATGTACCTTTGGACGTTCGAGGCCGCATATATTTTCAGTGCGATGGTGCACCATGTCACTTTGCACGGGATGTACGGCATTACTTAGACAGTACCTTTCCTGGGCGTTGGATAGGTAGAGGTGGACACATACGATGGCTTTCAAGGTCACCCGATTTAAATCCTCTAGATTTTTTTATATGAAGGTTTCATAAGGGGATATCTATACATCTGAATAGACAAATTTCAACCAACTGCGCTAGAAAAAAAAAACGCAAATACATTTCAAATACACTACACTACTAAAGGACCACTTTATTAGAAGGTGTCGCTTGTGTATAAAAAATAATGGAGGCCATTTTGAACATGTTCTTTAAAAGTTAGTTAAATTAAATTATCTTCCACATTTGTCGGTAAATCGCCATAAAGAGCGGCTAAACACAATAGGTTCTGTACTTGTAGGTGGTAAGGATTCTATTGCGTATTACATGGATTGAAATAGTTTTTACAATAAAATGAATAATGAAATACAACTTCAATTTTTTTCACCGTCCTCCAAAGTTGAGGGATGGAAGAGATTTTTCACAAAAAAATGAATTTAAGATTTTTTGCGTTGATTTATAATAAGCGATGTTAAAAAGTGATATAACCGTTGCTAAAACTAACCGATTAACTCATCTCAGAAAAAAAATCACAGCCCTAAAGTTAGTTGTAATTGCGATTGAAACTTCATTATCCCGTTTTTTTCGAAATTCCACGAAATTGCAAATATCTCCTAAGTTATAAATTTTCGGACCACACATATACTGGTTCATTCGTATACAGATACAAAAGTATTTATGGAAAAATGTGATATTTTTTGAGACGCAGATGTCAAAATAGCACTAAAAGAAACTTATATGATAATAATATTTTCTTTGTTGTTGAATGGAAAGTATGAATAACGGAAAATTGAAAAATATACAAAATATCGCTTTTTTACCATATTCCCGCAGAGTTATTGCATAACTGGAAAAGTGACATTATGTCCATATTTTTGACATTATGTTGTAGGTTTTTTATGACATTATGTAGGTTTTCCTACTAGGGATGTCTTTTAAGTTTTGCATATGGAAATAAAACAACAAGGTAGGTAGTTTTAAATGACTTTATTGTTTTTCGAAGTATTTCCACGAAGATTAATACACATCTGCATGCATCGAACAAGGTTTCGAAGCACTTATTCCACTCGTTTGCTGGCAGATCCAAAATGGCATTTTTGAATGCGTCAACTGCTTCTTCTGGTGACTGGAACCTTTGACCACGCAGTCTATTTTTAATTTTCGGGAAAGTAAAAAAATCGTTAGGGCTTAGATCTGGACTATATGGCGGATGGAATACTGCCTTGTTTTTTGGGCTGTGTGCAAGCTTGCATTGTCTTGGTGGAGGATGATTCTTCTTTCGGGGTTGATTTTTCGAAGCTCGGTGATGACTTTTGGCAAACAAATGGTGGTTTACCAATCCGCAGTAACAGTTCTTTGCTCATTAAGAGGAATTGTTGCAATATGACCTGCTTTTGATACAAATGCCGTGACCATCTTTTTCGAAACACTTCGAGGACGGATGACTTTTGTTGGCTTTTCTTCACCTTGGACCACAAACAGCCGACTGTCGTTTATTTTCTGGTTCATAACAGTAAATCCACGATTCCTCACCAATAACAATGCTGTACACATTTTTTGAGTTTCCGGAATTGAAATGGTCAAGCGTTTTTCGACACCAATTAACCCTGGCTGCTTTCTGCTCTTCAGTCAACAGGTGGGGTATCCAACGAGAAACTAATTTTCTTACTGCTAATTCTTCATGTAAAATTTTTTGAATTGAGGTCTTTGA